GCACGGGGCCTGCTCGCAGAGGCTGACGCGCCGTGCTCTGTGCCCCGCCAGGTGGACCCCAGCGAGTACTACGATGCGTGCATCGAGGAGGCCTGCGCGTGTGACATGGAGGGGAAGTACCTGGGATTCTGCACGGCCGTGGCGATGTACGCGGAGGCTTGCAGCGCGGTCGGGGTCTGTGTCACGTGGAGAAAGCCAGATCTCTGTCGTAAGTGAGATCCATACGCTGTTGCTCTTCAAAATGTCTTCAGACGGAATTGTTTTGTTAAGACAATCAATCTTCTCGTCCCGTTTTCCACAAAACACAAATTCTTGGGCATAGACAGGTTTAAACACATCTTAATTAATACGTTTGTTTATGATGGGGAAAAAAAATACCTGTTTAAAAAATTACGGCACCTGGCGCAACACATTCAATTCGGTTTCAGTTTCAAAAGTTCTTGTGTTCGCAGGGGAAAACTGAGTATTGATGGAAAATATTTCTTATTCACACTCAGATGAACAACTAACTGTTTGCCTAGCTTGGAGTAGGTATATAATCTTAAACATTTACCTCGTATATCACTGCTGGTTGAAGTCCTCACACATTATCTTGAAAACTTTTTATAGAGCTCTAGTCAAGATGAACTGTAAAATGCATGAAACTGTATCTTGAAATATATTAGAACGTGGTGTTTTTAGTAGAAACCAGTCACCACTTTTCCTCGAAATGAAGCTATTATGAGAGAAAATGACAAATAAGAAATGTTGAAATTTATCCCTCATTTTATTCCGTTTATTAGGCACAGCTTTATATATTATGTTGAAATCTTTAGTTACCTAACTTGGGAACTGTTACTTATATGTAAAGAAACCTAATTTTCCTGGAGATTTATTTTTTCTCACTTATGCTTAAACATTAAAACCATGAAACACTTCAATAAAAGATAAGTATAAAAAACTCCGTGAATGAGGACTATGACCTAAAATATCTCAAAATGGGAAAATTAATGTTTGCTTTTCCACCTCAAAGTAACCTTATTGTGAGCTGTCAAAGGAAAGTGCTGTTTTGATTCTATATGCTTTCCCTCCCTTTTTTGTAAGCTGTTTTTGGCTTACCTGGCAATTTGGATAAAACCAAATGAATCTGATATGATGGATATAGTTTTGGTAAGTTTATCGTTAGTATCATTAAAAAATCTCTTACAAAACGCTTTGGAAAATGAAGGTTGAAAATTGTCATATAATGAATGGAAGTAATTTGATATAATTCAATTACAGCTGTCTACTGTGATTATTATAATGCACCCGGGGAGTTCAGCTGGCATTATGAACCTTGTGGGACAGTGACTGCAAAAACATGCAAAGATCGAGTCATTGGCCAGAAATTTTCCGCACTTTTGGAAGGTAAGACATATTTTAGTAATATCCACGGAGTAGTGCAAATTATATTCATATCTTAAAACTGAAAAATGTTGTGTCTGTCAATGCAGTGCCTTACATTTTGTAATTTAATGAATAGCTATTTATCTTTATCATGACATTAACATTTCTATATTACAAACATTTTCTCTTGACATAAATTATGTATTTAACAGGAGAGAGAACACAGTGCTCTGATCTTACTGTCAATCCTTACACCATTCATTAGACAATGTAGTTTGCTGAGAATGTAGTTTCAGAATGCAACATATAGTATAGTTTCACTTGAATGAAGGCCAATTAATTATATCCCACAGTTAAAATGTACTTTACGCTTCACATTACATATAACTTGGAGAAAAAGAAAGGAATGGCAAAAAAGAAGTTGATGCGATAACTTTCCAAAAGTCACATCTGTGTTAAATTCCAGGCTTTGAGATCTTTTCAGCCCTTTTTTATTATGACTTCTGTGATCTTCACCTACCCTTGCGAAAGTAGATATTTAGAATTGGCATTCACATTTCTAGACACATATTTATCAAAGTCTTGTATTGTGTTCAAACATTGTGCCTGTCATGAAAGTAGCAAATCATTTAAGATGTTTTAGAAAGCACTGTAGGAAAAAATTAAATCAGCCAGGATTTCTAAATTCTTAAGTTGATATTTCATTGCAAGAGGATCTGACTCCTGTTCAATTTTTTGTCTTTTCGCTAAAAGTGTGATGTCATTTTGCTATTATCTACTTCAGTTCGTGGTACCACAGAAATAAGTTTACAAATGTGTAATGCGGTATGATGAGTTTCAGCAAATAAAGACGAGCTGCCGCTCATTTTTACACACAGGCTGTTATGCTACGTGCCCGGACAGCGCCCCCTATCTGGATGAAAACACCATGAAATGCGTCAGTTTATCTGAGTGCAGCTGCTTCTACAACGATGTCATACCAGCAGGTGGAGTGATCCAAGATAACTGTGGAAGAACATGGTACATTCTCTACTAACTATCCAATAGTTCTGTTTATTGCATTTTTATTTAGAAAATAATTAAGAAAATATATAGGTATATACTTGTTAGCTGGTATTTCTAAATGAGAAGATCAGCTTTAGGTTCAGTTATATATCACTTGGGTTGGTTATTTTTTGTTTTCAGTAAATCCACATTATCAACAAATGGTTTGTTAAATCTTATACTTAGTGTAGAAGACGAGACAGAAAATGTCACTATGGGTCCTGGGTAAAAATAGAGTTTTCTTTAGGAGTGTGGGTATAGCTCAGTGGTAGAATACATGCTTAGCGTACACGAGGTCCTGGGTTCAATCCCCAGGACTCCCATTAAAAAAATTTTTTAAGAAATTTTTTATTCTATGAATGTAAGATCATGTTCATAGGTTTTCAGGCAGTGACTTGGAAGCAAAGGGGTGAGGTCTGTACTAGGGCCATCAACAAATGTCATGTTTGAAACTGAAAATGTAAGAACTTTCCAGCTTGACTGTAAAGCATTCCTTTCAGTCCCAAGAACTCCTCAATGAAAAGACTTGGAAACCATGCATAAAAAAACCAAGCAATTTTTAATCCATAGCACACTCTTGGGGAAACAACTTACTGTTGTCTTACTTGATTCTGTTTTGATTTTTGCTGCTAGACAATTTGTCATTTTAAATTTGGGAAATGAATGTCATCAGGAGTTTCATTTCAACATTTCAACCTCATTCTTGTTTTGTTTGTTTATAATTTAACTTCCAGCTATTGCATCACAGGAGAGTTGGAGTGCAGTGGTGAGTCATGTTTTGTTCTCATTGATTTAGGAAAGTTGAAATAAAGGGTTTGGGATCTTTTCAAACCATCAGCAGCAGACAAATAGGGACTTAATGCCTTAGACTGCTCCTCAGTGGATTGAGACGAATTCTATTTCAGTCTATTTGTTCATGTTGGGTCAATTAAAAACTAATCCGCTGTCCAGGCATTTCCAACCACTGGTAGATGGGGTGGTTCTCCTAATGCAGGCGTACCCAAGCCTGTCTGTAGGTTCTGGAAATTAAGGGAGTGAGACATCAGTCCAACTAGTTTAATAAAGGGATGGAGTGGAAGGTGAGGATTACATAGAGGTAAATATTTGAAGATTGCTCATGTGCAACACATCTTAAAGATAAATCTCAAGTTTCAAAAGAATACATAAACAACTTCTTTTTCTGTTAGAAATTGCAAGAAGTGAAATAAAAAAGAGACAGATAACTCATAGGCAACTTGAGTTTTAGAATTTTTTTCACAATTTTTCATTCCTGTCACTAATAGTAATTTACGATTATTTCAGAAACTGCTCCTACAAATGCTACATTCGCAGGTAAAATCATCATTGTGGTTTAAATGTGTATTTTTGGTTTCTGTTTGTGGATAATCATTTGTAGTTTCACATGGATCGGTGCCAGTAAATGATATGCTGAGAAAGCTGATGACACAAAAATTTCTAATTAAAATTAACAGTTACTAGAAGATACGCCAAAATATTGTTTCATTATCCTCCTGTGAATTAAGTCAGGAATATGGTTAGAACATACAATAGGTAGTGTATGCCTGTTAGTTAAATTTCATCATCCAAAGCTTGACATTTTTAGATGATTATTGAATCGAGTGGAATGAAAAAGAAATAAATGTGGTCTCCTGTGGAGTATATGCTTTGAAATCATGGTTACAGTGGGAGATGACTTGAAAACATAGAAATAAAGTTAATTTATTTTTCTTAACTCATGTATTTGTGCTAAGTTATTAGGCTATTTCAATTATTTCCATTCAAAAGAGTTTTGAACAAAATACAGGGTATGTTTTGAGTTTGGAACTTTTAATTCACTGGCAATATAAGTGTACTTAAAGTTGCTGTAGTCCACTTAACCTCTTCCTGTCTTGTGTGATTGAAGGATACATTTTATCTCCTGTTGATCAATATTTGGAGGTGGTGTCAGTTAAGAGACAGTATAGTAAATTGGAAGCTTTAGGTTTTGAGAATGTATTTAGTATGTGACTGTCAATAAAATACTATTTATTTAGTTATCATTAGTCACTTACCTAAAGCTAAGCTATCACATGTCAGGTTTCTGAACCTTATTTCTTGGTCTACAAATAGACCTTATGAAGTTCCTGTGTGACTTTGTTTAAGTGGTTATAACAGAAGATAACTATTTTTGTATTTTTGTTGGGCATACATTAAGTATATAGAGTTAATTTGGATTGATTTTAATGAAAAATTGTCTTGTCACTTAATCTCTGCACACAATTTCAGAAATTTTTATTTAGTTTATGGCAATTGGTTTCTGGGGGTAAATCTGCCAGTGAAATGATTCAAGGAATTTATTTTCATAAATACTGTCTTCCCTGAACAGTTTCTACTACAATGGCTACCTCCGTGTTAAGTACTGAAACAGGTAAGCAAATGTTTATTTGTTTTTTAGTTTTTAAATTAGCAGCAAAGTGAATTTGCAACTCAGACAGTTCTTTTTCCGAATGTGTCATTCTCTTACTTATTTCCTTAGTGCCAAATAGCAGGGTCTACATCCAGTTGTAGTATTAGTTAAGAGCATCTTCTCTATTCGGAGGTTATGTGTCCTAAAATGAACATTCTGCATACTACTAATTTTGGGGGAAAAAACGACTACAAAAAAAAATTCTATGCTAAATTCTTTTAAAATAATTTACATTTTCTTTTTCACTAACACCAAGGAATTTTAACTTGAATTGAATGACTTGTATGTAAAGCAGTGGCCAGAGGCATACAAGATTGTATCAAAATGTGTGAACATCTGATCTGATAAATGAATTTAACTGTTACAGTTAATCCTTTATTTGCATTCTAGAGATATCTATCCATGTCTAAATAAATACTTTTTAATTTTGTCTTTCAACACCATTTTAACATATATTTCCTAATATTTATCTCCTCCTTTGTGTAGCAATTACACTGGTAACCCGTAGCTCAGGTAAGCCATAATTATCAACCACAACTTAATCAAGAGGGCATTAAAAAAAAAAATCCAAAACTTCCTTTTGTCGTATTATATCTTTGCAATTACACTTTTGGGGAAGATTTTGTTTTCTGTTTTGTTTTGTTTTGAAGCTTTTAGAGGAAGAGTTTGGGAAAAAAATGTGATACAAACTTAAGTTTCTTTGAGTTTTCCTTGTGGTCTATGAATTTTAAAACTTTAATTTTACATTTTGACATTTATTTACCTATACGATCAAATTTCTCTGAAACATTAATTTCAAGTTGATCTGTTTTATATATGACCATAGATGTCCTCAGAAACATAATTTTCCTTCTACATGAAACATTATTTTTTTTTCGTTGTTTTCTCCAATTCAGCGGCTTCCAGTACAAGGATTACATCAAGCAGTGAAATACGAGGTAGGTGAATCAAAAGCCTATAAAATGAAAAATAAAGGTTTTTACATATATTACAATTGTTTTTAAAATAATAGAATCAACAGAGCCACTTGCCTATGTTTAGGACCTTTTTCTTCCCCTAACTGAATGCTGTTTTTCTTCCTTCTGTTATTTATTACTTTCTCTAGTCTGTCTGTCAGTTTTTTTCTCTATATATCTATATATTTAAAAACATGATATTTTTATTGAGGTAAAATTGACATATAACATTATATTAGCTTCTGGTGTTCAACATAATAATTCCTATTTGCATCTCTTGCAAAATGATCACAGTCAGTCTAGGCAGCATCTTTGAAGTCACAGATAATTGTTGCCCAGACTTGTATTTCCAATTACATTTAGTCCCAAGCTGTATAATAGTTAGCATTCAATTGCACTCAATAAATATTTGTAGAATGGGTGATTCTTCTTTTTCCCTGCCCCAAATTTGGAAGTCAGATTTTTTATTTTGGAACAGAATTTCTGGTGAAGGTTAGACTATTGGTTAGTTGTTATTTATACTGATAAAGCTTATGGTTTATACATTTCATTGATTGGAGCTAGTGTATCTTCTCTAGAATACCAAGAGTTAGTGTAAAATCAAGACTACTTTTGGACTATAATTTTATATCATGATATAGAATTATGACTAACTTTGGGTACTTTTGTAATTCTTGGTGCTCTCTGATTTATTTGGTAATTAATATATTGCTTATATTCAAAGGACAAATGTGTGTCTTAAAGTATCACCATGATGGTCTGGAATATCATTTAAATGCCTAAACTGACATGTTTAATTTTTATCAAACTTTCTCTTATGTTGAATATTATATTATTAGCAATGTAAGCACTACTAAATGTAAGTGTAAATTTAGGAAGAGTGACACATTTCAGAAATATTTTTCTTTATTCTATAATTGTATACTCATTTCCCAAGGCCTCATAATAATATCATCCCAGTAGCTCTACATTGTTTAATATACACTGCAGAAGGATTTTCTAGCTACATGTTATCTTAGCCATAAACAATGGACTGCATTCCTAATTCTCATTCTGGTTCTGTTTCTAACACAATTTGATTCAGTTATATAGCTCTCTTTCCATTAAAATAAAATCATTCATTCAGCTATTAAAACTTTTGAATCTTGAGGCCGTTTAAAGTATTCTTGAAGGTTGATGTGAGGAATTGTATAGGCATGCATGAGTCGTAAGCAGTTTGGTGAATTATTTCAGTATGATGCTGTTATCTGCATCCTGTATCAAAAATAGGCACTCAGAACTAAGAAAACTGGTTTGATTTTTTCCCAGTTTATACTTACATTTCCTCACGTTGCTTTTTCTTCCCTACGCATTCTGTTTTGAACATAATATTCTGGCAATTTCATTTTGCCGACATTTTGTGTTGTAGCAAGCAAACTTTTCATACAAAACAGAAGATCATGAGCAGATCACCCAGAGTTTTTATGAGCAGCTGATGAAGTGTTAGATGTAAAATGTTTAATTAACCTTAAAATACTACAAAAAAAAAAATCTCATCAATTGCTTCCACCCCAGCATTTAAAAAACTGTAAATCTATTGTAGTTTTGAATTATAGAGAAGATTAGCTAGGTGATTTTTTTCCTGAATTCATTTGGTGTTATTTATGACTTTTAATGCTTAGCCTTACTAAATTCTAATGTTTTATTAAATTTCACTGACATTCTAGCAGACATTTCATGCTCGATACATATGCTATTAATGCTTTATTAAAATACCATCTTAGTACTGTATTATAAGATGTAGCTAATAATAACTTTTATTGAAGGCTTACTATATTCTATTCATTATATCAAGTACTTTTCATTCAGTATCTCATTAAATCTCAACAATCCCCTGATTAAATACCATTATTTTCCACTACGCCCTTCCCCTCATCATTATACAGAGGAGAGGAAACAAGCTTAAGTAATTTTCCCAGTATTACAAAGATCAGAAGAAAAAGGGATTTTCTAGTATGACATACAGAGAAATCAGGGTGGTTTTTCTTTTCCTTATTATCCATGAAAGCCAGAAATTATCATTTCAAAGATGTGAGTCATTAAGGCTGCCCCAGCATTATTCTAAAATCAGGAGACCAAAGTAATTATGTTACTGTTGTTACACATGTTAAAATTGTGTAAATGTGCCACAAATCGTGTGTATTTTAAATAAATTTTATCAAATAATCCCGATGTATAGAAAACACTGATTATCAAGTTGTCAAATCAATGGTACTTTTTCAGGATTTATTGATACTGTTCATGTAGCTTATCTTGCGTTGGAATAAACTAGTAAGTGCTTATTTCCCAGGTGAACTGAGGCATGCAAAATTTTGGTTATTAATTCAATTTCAATTTTAAAATAATAATTAGTGGTAGGACTTGGCTGAATTCTTAGCTCCTCATCTACCATCCCGTATCTTCTTTCCCAAGATTATGCCCGTATCGTACATAATTTAGAAATTATTCAAATAACTGATTTAGTTTCCTCGAAAATCTCTGCCTTGGAGGCTCAGATCATACCACGTGGTCATCTTGTTGACTGAAGTAACTGCATAACCATAAATTGTGCTATAACTTCAACTTCAACTTGTGCTACAGATTCCTGGACTGGGTACAAAATATTCAGAATAAAATGTGACATTTCTGAATTTTACGAACCATAAGAGATATGACCACTGTAACTGCCAAAACATACCAATCTACATAAAGTGAGGATGGCAGCCAGTAGCATCTCAGAAAGTATTAGTTGTATGTTTATGGATAGTCTTATTTTGAAGCTCTTAAATAAAAACCAAGTCTCATGTTCTATTGATTTTCATTTTTCATGTAAGAATGAACTATTTCATTCTAAAGCATACCTGCATACTTTTCAAAAAACTTGTTCTATCAATTCATCCAATAATCATCATGTCATAGTAAAAATAAGCAGTTTGAAGTGTTTACTTTTAGAACACTTTTAAAGGAAGTAAGGATCATTTTTGTGGAGCAGTTGTCTTGCAGGAATTTGTAGCCTTGAAAGTCACATCCCATTTCTTTTACTGACATCAGTGATTTAAAAGTTAAACAGCATTTGACAAATTGTGATGAATCCATAGCTGTGTAATAATGATTTTTATGTTTTTAGCTTGCTAGTGGTGAACCCTGCTAGATCAGTGATGAGAGAAATGGATCCCAAAATAAGAGTTTAGTCATCATCACTAGCACATGTCTCATTTCTTTCTAAATATAGCGTGCATCGACAAAAATATTTAAATTGGTTCTGAAAAGCAGAAGTTTAGTATTATTTCTGGATATAGTACAGCTAGGAAGACACATTCTTTTGAATATGTGTTGCCTCTCCACGAACTGTTTACAGTGGATGGAAGGATTTCTTTCTTAGACATGAGAACCCATTTTTCCCAGAATTTTGGTTCACGGTCTCACTGTTCTAAATGTGATTTCATTTTGGATAATATATTATTATTGCTTTTGAGTAGAACCAATATGATTAGTGGGTTAATGTAATTTAGCCAAAACTTTTCCATTTTTATTTTCTGCATTGTTTAAAGATATCAGTTTGGTGTAAAAAAAAAAAAACCCTATAATTCTTGAACAAATAGGTAAGATTTATTTCAAAAAGAGACTGTGCAGAAGGGGACTTTTTGTCGTTATCTTGTTCCCTGGGTAAAATACTTCTAATCAACTATTGGATCAAACACTTTCCTGTATGAAGTACTTTTCACTGGCTATTAGTTGTTTTGTTTTGTTTTGTTTTATATATAACTTGAAAAGATTGTGCAAGTTATTTTAAAGTTTCTTTCCATAAATTTAAATGACCTTTCTCAGATGGATCAAAGGCATTCCAACCAGATAGATGGAGAAAGAGACATAGGTCCACAGAAGAGGCATTATGACTTATTTGACTTTACATTCAAGCATGTTGGGTAGAAGTTGAGCTATGATTTTACTGTTGCACATACCTTTGAGGTAAATATCATAGGCACAAAATGCACTATTGACAAGTTTAGAAAAGTGTTACAGAAAACTTTAAAAACACAAAGGGAGCAATATGCAAAGCTTAAGCTTTTTCTTTTTTTTTCATGCTTTATATATCCATTTTCTTTCCTAAGGAGTAAATGCTTTCCAAGGGTTAGACTACCCTGATAGACGGCTAGCCAAACATTCCAATAAGTATGCTATTTTTAGAAGAAAATTTATGCAATTATATTTTTTGTTCCTATTTAGGTTGACAGATCTTGACACAGAGCTATAATAAGAACAGTTCTAAGTATTTGACACATATTATATCATTTGGTATAGAAAACTCTATGAAGTGGGTGCCATTATTCTCTTCAACTTACAAATGAGGAAATGGAAGCACAAAGAGTAATGTGTCCAAGGTTATTTGCTAACAAGCAGCAGAGAGAGGATTAAAATCTGGGATATCTTTTTCTATATTCCAGTCCTAATGTTTCTGCGTTTTGATATTTAAGAGAGAAAATAAAGTTCAATTTAATTTAAGTCAGTTACTGAAGTAGTAGCAATAATTGCAGATTCCAATTTCAAATTGAGATGTGTCAAAATTCATAATTTATTTAGTAAGTTTCTATTAAAAGTAAAAATAGCTCATTGACTAAATGGGGTACTGATTCATATAATTAAAAAGTGGGTTTCTGTTACATAGTAACTTGATATCTTTTTTTAATTGAAATATAGTTGATTTACAGTGTTGTGTTAGTTTCTGATATACATCACAGTGATTCAGTTATATATACATTCTCTTTCATATTCTTTCTCATTATAGGTTATTACAAGCTATTGAATATAGTTTCCTGTGCTATACAGTATAATTTGATATCTTAAAGTGCATTTTTTCTCAAAAAGTTAAAATCTCAGATTTTTACAATTATAGGTTGTATATCAATTTTATTTGCTTGTATAATGTGATTATTCTCAAATTGCATCAATCATAGAAAGAAAATAATTGCACCAAGATATCACAGAGAGCCAGCAGAGTGTAGTGGGAAGCAAAAGTTGAAAAATAAGAATTTGACGGGGTGAAAAGGGATAAACTGGGAGTTTGAGATTTGCACAGACTGACTGGTATATATAAAATAGATAAATAAGTTTATACTGTCTGGCACAGGGAACTATATTCGATATCTTGTAGTAGCTCATGGTGAAAAAGAATATGAAAACAAATATATGTATATTCATGTATGACTGAAGCATTGTGTTGTACTCCAGAAATTGGCACAGCATAGTAGACTGACTATAACTCAATTAAAAAATAACAAAAATAAAAAAATAAAAATTTGAATCTTTTCTTCCACTTGCTAGCTGTATGACCCTAGTTTTAGTCCCTCAAACACTCTGAACATTAATTTTCTCATTTATTAAGAGAATACAATATGAAAGAATATTGTGCAATATATACCTTATGGAACTTGAGAAAAGAGTAAATAAGATCGGACAGCTTAGTGTAATACATAGTAAGTACTCAGTAAAGTCAAAGTTATTGCTAGTAGTAGTTTATAAGGAATAATTCATTATATAAATGAACTTAAATTTTAGCAGGGGAGTTTAGTGTTTTTTCAGTAATTAAAACCAATTTTATAAATTTAATTTTTTTCAGAAATAAGATGTTTTGCAAAAGCTAAACTTTGGCATACCAAATTTGTTGTTAACTAGGGAAAATGTTATGGGTACTCCTTAAGCTTATGTTTCGAAATTTGTATTAAGTAAAACAAGATCTATTAAAGGAAACTGCAAAATAATCTTTCAGAAAAGATTTTATAAATTTTATAAAATTTTAAATGGTTCTTAAAAGTAATCAAATCTTACTGGTAACTGGAAAATTAGTTGCAAGATTTTATTTTAATAATTAAGCTTATTATGAGATGAAAAATAAAAGAGGTTAAAAATGATCATGAGGCAAAAATAAATGGACACAGTCACTTTGAAAATTTTTACCTCGTAAAACACAGAACTCAGCATTTTGGTAAAGGCAGCTTTTCCTGTTGTTATTTATGTCTTGGCAACAAAGAATCTGAAACACAGTAATTCACACTATCAAGTACTTTAGCATGTATGTCCATTTGCAAATAATAGAAAAGTCAGTTGAAATTGTAATGGTTATGGATGTTAAAATTAAGGAGAGTAGTAATGCTTTACCCATCAAGGATGGTAATTAAACCACGAAGAACAGTGTATGTGGATTCTCATGTATTCCTATTAGTAAAAGCTTATCCTTAGTTTTTATTGCTGTTTCAGTAGTTTCAGTCTTACCTTTTCTGAAGATCGTTTGTGGGAAAAGGGAGCTATTTCAGAGTAGCCCGAGTGGTTGGTACTCCGATCTGTGACTAGTTTAAATAACTCTGATGGCCCTGATCAAAGATGGGTCCTTGAGATCCACTTTGGAGCATGTTGCCTCATTAGCCACACCAATTACACAGAAAGGACTGTAAGCGTGTTTTCTCATTCAGGTGTTAAAAGTATTTGCAATCCCTGCTCTACCGTCTAGGGTGTGCCACTGTGTTCCCCTTAACTCCATGTTGATTCCAACATAGTCAGATATACAAATTTTGGAAAAGATCGATTCTTCTCCATGGGATAATGGTGTTTTTAATAAAATGCAGTTGTCTTCAGTTTGAAAGAGCTCAAGCTAGGATTGTTGGAATTCTTTAAAGGCTAAATCTGTCCTGGGAAATGGAATCTGCACCAAAGTCTTTTGAGGTATTGAGGTCCATCCTGCTGCATCACGACAATCTTGGTGGTCTCTGTGGACCACGGCACAGTGGTCTTTCTATGCTGTTCTTACATCCAAATCAGCAAGATATTTTATTCAAATGTCCAGTTCCTGTGTTTGTTAGTGACAAAAAAAAAATCAGTATCTGTTGACGGAGTCTGCTTGATGCTAATTTGAAAATTCTTCTCAGCTAAAGCTTGACACTTGAGAATACTCACATAAACCTTCTCTCAAACTACTTAGTATGCTTAACACTATATCCATTTTGTGAAGCAATCAGGGGAGATAGGATATTTTATTTGATATTATAGTCTATAATTTCTAGTCTAATTTATAATATCCCATTAATATGGGGAATGGGGAATGAAACCCATAAACTACAAGAGGTGATGCGTTATACATAGACGCAGCATTACATGGAAAGCTGTATGTACGTCACAATCTTAGGTGCTGGGTGACTTAGATTTTAGTGCCAGCTTTGTCACTGACCAGCAGTGATCTTGAACAATTTACTTGCCTTTTCTGAGCTCGATTCTTCATACGCAGAATAGGTATAATATTTTTACTTCATTGATTGATTAATTGAAAGATGGATTGATTCATTCATTCGACAAACACTTACCAAGCACCTGTTATGTACTAGGCACTTTGACATCATTAGAGATGTAAAAGGGTAAGTTAAAATAGACATGGTCCCTGCATTTGTAAACTGATAGTCAGGAAGTCTAGTCAGAGAGACGGGTATCAATCAAGTAATTACAAAAGCAAGACTTGCGTCAGTGACAAGAGCTATGAGGTGCTTAAAATGGGGGTAGGGTGGGTAGAGAGGGGAATTTGATCAAGTCAAGATGGTCAGGAAAGGCTGAAGAAAAAATGATTGAGTTTGAGAACTGAAGTTTAATTAGAAGAGGGAAGGAACCATGTTCAAGTACAGGGAACTGCAAATAGCATGTCAGAGAGTTTGAAAGGAGGTCAGTGTGTCTGGACAAAAAATGAGGGTCACGTAGACTGTGTGAGACCTTTCTTCTTTTTTAAGTTACAAAATTTTAAAGTGACGCTAGCACGTAAACAATGGATTTCCAGGAATTTTTAATAGAAACTAAGACTGAAATAGAGAAAATAGACTTTTCATTATTCATGAAAACCAGAAATTGACAACAGCTCATGTTTAAGTCCACAGACCACTTCAGCAAGCATTTAATAAACTCCTACCCTATTCCCAGCAATGCGCAGGCATTGGGAATGCAGAGAAAATACGGGCTCTTCCTTTGGGAGGTTCCTGGTAACTTCAAATTGATCTCCATGAACCTGCTATAACACATCATAAAAAAAAAAATTCTAAAAACGATTTCTCCTTCCCCCTGCACCAAGTTCTCATAGACTGACAGCTAATTAGTAGAAAAATATTGAAGGTGGAGATCAGAAATCAGAAATCGAGTGAGGTCAGATAAACCACAGACTGCAGAATCAGCCTCTGCTTAGCAGACAATTATCTTTTCATTGTTGGTGAATATTTATTCCATTTACAGTGTATTTAGTAGAATTCAGCATAGGTATGTAGTGTACAGACACCCATATTCACACATGTATACACATACACTCTGAAAGAGTAATGTTATAATGTCACTATTTTAAAAATGAAAAAAAATGTCTTACTAACTCTCAACACTAAATATATTGCAAACTGACTATATACTGAAAACTAACAAGTGAGCTATCTTTCTAGTATTTCCCCTTGAGGTCAGAAAAATTCACATCATTTCTCTTTTTCTTATCAGGAACAACTCTAAGTTTTCTCAGTGAACCTTTTACTACAGGTTAGTCTATTAATTCCTGGTTTTATATGTGAAAAAATATCTAATGTATAAATTATTTGTAACTGTGTTTTTCAGAAAGAATTGATATAAGTTTGACTTTTGAAAAAATATTTCAGACAAGTAGTTCATTGAGCTTTTCCCACTAATTTTAAACTTAAAAAAAGAACTGAATTTGACTTGTTTTTGACCTTTTTATATTAAGTGGCTATAATATGGTTTCCAGTTTTATTTTCTTCCTTGTTATTAATATAGCATATCCAACAGTATTAAGTGAGATCAAGCTCAAAATTTTTTTAAAAAGAATATAGGATGAGAGAAAACATCTGTGTATCTAATGGTATATTTTGCTCTTTTAGGTGCTTTTTTTAAATAAAAGTAACAATTTGCCACTTCATGATAATTAAATTTCACCATTGTTACTGTCATCTCTGGGTGACAATGTGATTAGGGCTTAAGGTTCCATTTATTTGAAGGCAGCCTTGGTCAGATAAATGTACAAACACCTAGTGTGACCCAATTTAAGATGCAGATAACATGGCTTTGTTAAAAAAAAATTATGGGCAGAACTAAACCAAAATCTTAGAGGAAAGTAATATTGGAACAAAAATCTTAGGATGCTCACTGGTTCTGTTTTCTATGATAGGAATTGACTGAACAGTTCAATCACCCATTGGTATTAAATTTCAAATATGCTTTTTTAAAGATTTTGTTTTTAACTTTTAAAAACGTGTGTGGGGGGGAGTTAGGTTTTTATTTGTTAATTTTATTTTTGGAAGAGGTAGTGGGGATTGAACACAGGACCTCACGCATGCTAAGCACGTGCTCTACCACTTGAGCTTTGCCCTCCCCCTAAATTTTGAATATTCTTGAGATGAGAAGTTCATTTTATGTTTTTCTCAGGCGTTACAACAACTCCAGTTCCCATCACCTCCACAGCTGGAAGTGAGGGCACCACAGGAGCGGGGGGATCCATCTTCACCAGTCCTGGGAGCTTACCAGGTAAATCAAGTTCAGAACAAAATAGACCAGCCACGGCTAAGAAACTGATTTCAGGCAATGCTGCTCAGGACAGTATTTTACAAAATAAAGGTATCTGAGTTAGGTACAATTTAGATGTTCTTTGTATGTGATTAAAATTTAGAAGCTTTAAGTTTTGCACAAGTTGCTTTCTCGATGTTTATTATGTTATCACAATTATATAGACCCATCACCTTGAGAGTTGACAGCACCCGTGCACTTTTTTAGCAGGTCTTTGCTTTTCTTTACCTTCAACAGGGTCAACTGGAGCATCAGCAAGTACAGCCACAGAAGCTGAAGCCATGAGTGACTCAGGCTTCAGAGCAGGTGAGACAAAGAAATGGGGCACATGCTGCCCTTTCCATAGCTTCTTCCCACCAGTCGTCCTCCATTTCAAGTCAGGATCAACTCTACTCTGGACATGTTAGATTATAGGGGTCTGGTGTCAATACTGTTACCTGGATGACTCTGGAAAAAATTCAGTAATTGATATTTATATGTTAACAAACTATTAGTGACATATTTCTATGGCACACTAAAATTTCTGAATTATGCTCAAATATGTAATATGTAATTTAATCCACATTAACACCGTGATAGTTAGGTGTCTTTTTTTTTTTTTTTTTAACCCATGAGGAAAACTATAATAAAAGTTCTCAGAACTGGCAGAGGCAGGATTAGAACCCACACCTTTAGCCTCCTCGGTCATCGCTCCACAAGTCTGTGATCTGTGCCCAAGAGCAAACATCCAAGAAGAGTCAGTGAGCATTTGCTTGTCCTTGGGTATCACTGACTAAATTTCAGCTACTGGTGGTTTCATGAATAAAATACTCTTTGACTTCTTTAAATGTAAATGGTTTTGATTAGAAACAAAGAAGTCTGAATTCATCCCCTCTATTATGCAGTCAGTTTACTTTAAGTACCTCTTAAATTTCTTCTTTTCATCACGTGTGCCTCTGCTTTTGCTCAGTTGTTAAACATTTTCCACCTAGTCTCTGTATGTGTCTACCTTGCTCACCTTCCTCTTAACACAGTAGTGCTCAAGGTGTGGTTCCCAGACCAACAGCATCCGCATCTTCTGGGATCTTTTTAGGAACACAAAATTTGGGGGGCCACCTGTTCAAAGAGAATCAGAAGCTCTTAGCGTGGAGTCCAGCAAACAGTGTATTAACAAGCCCTTTATGCAATCAATGAGTGTCAGTTTTGGGAATTTTCCCAGTCTCTCCCCACTTCGTCTCAATTGGCACTTTAGTCAATACCACACAAGAACGAACTTTCCAAAACTCAACAGTCATCATATCATGCCACTACTTAAAATCTTTCTACTTTTTGGATTGATTTTAGGATAAATCAGAACTCCTTTATGTACCAATAAAAGCTATTTCTTTAGCATATGCATGGAACTTCTCTTTATGCATTTTTAACATTTTTTTATTGAGTTATAGTCATTTTAAAATGTTGTGTCAAATTCCAGTGTAGAGCACAATTTTTCTGTTATACATGAGCATGCATATATTCATTGTCACATTTTTTTTTCACTATGAGCTACCACAAGATCTTGTATATATTTCCTTGTGTTATACAGTATAATCTTTTTTATCTATTCTACATTTTGAAATTCCAGTCTGTCTCTTCTCACCCCCCGCCCCCTTGGCAACCACATGCTTGTATTCTATGTCTGAGTCTGTTTCTGTTTTGTATTTATGGGTTTTTTTTGTTGTTTTTCTTTATGCATTTTTTAACGAATCCATAGCTGGACTTTACTGTTCTTACTTACATTTACTTTTCCCTTAGCAAATTTATTGACTTAAAATTTATGTATTAAATACTTCTTGGAATAAGATATAGTTTACATAAAAATAATATGTTGAAAGGTACAAGCTACAGCAGCACAAATTAAGAAACAATTTAATTCCAATTAGATCAGTGAGTTGACTGAAATTTTAGGGTGATGATTATTTAGTGCCTGTTTTCTAAAATTTGAATCAGAATTATTTGGGTGATAATCAGATGTCACTTAGCTATCTCCTGTGGTTATCAGGCAGTAAGTACAGGGGCCTTGAGCAGGGCTTCTATAAGTTTGGTCTGCAACTGAGTCCAATTGAGAACTGTTTGTTACTGCTCCATGATGTGGTAAGAACTGAAACAGCGAACAAGTATTTAGAAACATGGTAATCTGACTCAGCAATTTTATATTTGCTTGAATAAAAGCTTATGTTTTGCAAGGATTTTTTTTTTAATTTCATTTCTCTACTTTCATGGCATTTTCCCAAAGTATCAATATACAGCAGGTGGGGGAAAGGGGTATAGCTCAGTGGTAGAGTACGTGCCTAGCATGCACAAGGCTCTGGGTTCCATCCCCAGGACCTCCATTAAACATAAATAAATGAATGAATGAATGAATAAATAAATAAAACTAATCCCCCCCAAAGAAAATATATATAATATATTTATATATATATATATACACACACACACACATACAGCCGATGGTAAATTTTACACAGTTGTTCTTTTACCACAAATTGTTCTGAAAAGCACAGGTTGGAGTATGAATGGGGGTCTAGATGGCCTGTGATTGGCTCCTGGATCTGCTGTCAACTGGCTGGGTGGCCTAGAGTCAGTCGCTTAACCACATCTGTTACATGGGAATCGAAATATTACCTGCCTCAGAGGATTTATGGATTACGTGAATTGATCTATGTCTAGGGTATTTTTCAAACTGCAATTTTTTTTTCTTATCAGGAGGATCAGGAGCTCCTACAGCACCAGCGACAGGAGGAGAGGAATACAGCACATCCTCAGAACCAAGCACAGGAGCAACGAGCCCAGGAGGATCAGGCAAGCCAGGGGGCCCCTATTTGAGTTTTCAGTTGTGTTTTCAGTACCTAAGTGAATGCCTGACTTGATAAGTATCTGGCAGATATCTAGTAAGTAAATAAATGAATAGGAACTCTCAGTCTGGTAAAGGATCAAGAGGCTTTATTCTTATAAGTGAGGTGAAAAAATAACAGGCTGTGTGAAAGAGAACCTTCCAGAAGAATTGGAAATGTGGGAGAGAGTGGACTATTTGCTGCTATATTCAAATAGTGAACTTTGCTGGAAACATACCCATCCACACACACACACACACACACACACACACACATGCACACACACACCACTGTGCAGATCCATATGTCTACAAATCCAAGGCTTCTATCTTCATTTGGTCCCTTAGTAGAATTCTTCACATAAGAATTTGGAGCTTGCTAGGTTATGCTAAGTTGTTGCAGAATTAGTTCCATTAGGTTAAGGCTGGGAGGAGGTAGAAGCATTTTGTAAAAGAATTGAGCATGTAGAAGACGTTTTAAAATCATTGGATGTGGATTCCAGAGGACCTAATAAAAGTAATTGTGATAGACAAAGGGCTGTGGACAGAGTAGGAGCTTAGCATAAAAGAGACAAAGCCCAGTATGGGCTTGGAATGCCACAGCTGATAAAGGAAACCAAAATGTAGGCTTGACTCAGTGTCCAAGGAAGGCAGGGTATGAAGTAAGGTGGGATTAATTGCTTCAAGACCTCAAACAGAGTGTTAATATAAAGTTACTTGACCGAGAATACAGTTAGATTTTAGAGTCAATCAGGGTTAGCTTGTAGATAGGAAACTAGTCTGTGGAAAAGTGAAAGAGCATGACTTGGCTGGTGGGAAATTCCCTTAAACTGAGCTCAGGAAAGAAGCTTCTGATACTCAGAGACCAGACAGGCCTAGTGAGTGTGGCATAATCTGTAGGAAGTTAGATATAGGAAACTTCTGAAGACATTTTAGATGTCACTTTCCAAATATATATCCCTAGTCATGGCTTCTCTGGAACTCTAGATTTATGCTCAATTGATACCTTATCATTTCCACTGGATGTCTAATAGACATCTCAGATTTAGCATGAGCTAAACAGAATTCTAGCTTTACTTTCGTACCCACACCTGTTCTCCCAGTCTTTCCCATATCGATAAATGGTATCCTCACTGACTTGGTTTACTCAGGAAAGAATCTTAAACTTATCCTTGAAACCTCTCTTTTTTATTTTACACTTAACAATACAAACAAGGCCTATTAATTGCACTTTTAAAAAATATCCTGAATCAATCCATTGAACTCAATCTCCTTTATTACCACTCTAGCTGAAGTCACTAATATATTCTCTGGATTTGAAACATCACCTCATACTGTCTTCCAATTTCTATTATACACTCTTGATCATGTATTTTCTACAGAACAGAAGAAGATATTTTTCAGTATATGTAAGCGTATCACTCTTCTACATAAACTTATATTCCATTGCGTTTAGAAAAATGTCCAATTTCCCTCTTTTCCCTGACACGATAACTTGTTCAATTCTACGTATATATGTCCTAACCTTCCAGTGTTCACCCCCTAACCTCCCATGATATATATACATTAACTAGTTTTGCTTCTCTAGCGTATATAGCTCATTTTTAGCATGGTATTTCGCTATGTCTATTCCCACTACCTACAGTGATATTTCTCTTGAGTTTGACACACAGTCTGCTTCTTGCAAGATCTGAAAGTAAATGACAACAAACTTTTACACAGGCCTTTGCTAGCAGGCTAGTCTAAAACAGAACCTTAGATGCTTGATATGACCTCACTTGATATGAGTGGACTGATGCATTTCTTCTTTCTGAATTTGTGTGATTGACTGGATAGTAAACTTATTGTATGACTGCATGCCACTGAAATTCAAATAGAGTCCCATAACGGAGCAAATAATTAGATACATACCAGATATATCACTTTAGAAAAGTAACATAAAATTTCTATCTCTTAGAGTCTTTTCTTTTTTAAAAAAGGGAACGTAATACTTTATATGACATAGAGTTGTTCTCATGTAAAAAGGATGACACATAGAAATTGTAGAGAATAACATCATATAAAAAAACTGAATGTAAGATTCTTAAATTAAAAAAAGGTTAACAAGAAAATAATGAATAAATTGAAGAAAATAAACGGAAGGAAAAAGAAAGATGGCTGAAGAATAAGGTTGAAACACTATGGATGAAAATACCAGAAAGCTAAATGTGACACAGAATAAAGTATCAGAAAATATTTAAAATAACAATGAAGTGACATCTAAAATTACACTGAATTTTTATTAATGGTTTAACAGGAAAAACGGAAAAATTTCTTGAACAACTAAGAACAACAGGAATAACAACAAAAGGATCAACAATAAGTGCACAATCAACTCGAACCTCAGAGAAAACCGCATCGCCAGGCGGACTGACGGAGGCAACTGGCACCTCCGCTTCCGGCTCAGGTGCCACTGGAGCGTCAGCTGGAGCGTCAGGTGCGCCTGGAACGTCAGCTGCAGGGGTGGGAACGAGCGGAGCCGCAGCTGAAGTAGCAGGAACAAGTGGAGCCGCCGGGGCAGGTTCCAGGGCCACGACGGAGCCATCGTCTGGCCTCCCAGGGAGAACGGGCGCATCGTCTGGAGTACCGGGGACCACGGTGTCCCCAGCTGGACTGACAGAAGCGACTCGGCCTCCGTGGCAGGCTCCGGGACGACGGGACCAGGCGCTGGAGAATCACGGGCCACAGGACCGGGAGCGGTGGGCTCGCCAACCGCTGGCGTGCCAGCTGGTGCTACGGGGACCAGTAGAGCTGGAGCCTCTGGGACAGCTGCGCCGCCTGTTACAGGCTCGGGGACAGCTGCCCCGTCGTCTGGAGGAGCAGCGACCAGTGTCGCCGGAGCGGCAACCAGTGGACCTGCGGCTGAAGGGCCAAGGACAAGCGGATCACCGTCTGGGCCGAGTGGGACAGCGGGCGTCTCTGCGGGAGGCTCAGCGGCAACTGCAGCGTCGCCGGGAGCGTCGGCTGAGGTGCCAGGAGCAACGAGCGCCTCGGTTGTCGGCTCGAGGCCCACCCAGCCAGCATCTGGGGCAGTGTCAGGGGCAGCCGGAGGATCACCTGGAGCCCCAGGGACAACCGTATCGCCAGGCGGGCTGACGGAGGCAACTAATTCGGGAATAATTGTCACCTCCAAAGCAATACTCACAAGAGGTTAGCTGTTTTTTTCTTAGTGTTAAATTTTTTTTCATGTTTGTTTCTTGAAAACCATGAATACATCATTATCAATTTAGATAAGCAATGGAGACTTAATTTTTTGCAAAAGTACAATATCACAGAGTCATAAACCTAGATTTGTTTGTATTTTCGTGGCCTCAATTATCTCCATGTGATATATAGTTACCCAGGCTTGGAAAACTAAATATTTAGCATCTGTCAGTTAGTCAACCTACTGGTTGACCGTTGCCTACTTTGTCCCCAGAACTTTTATGCAATTTGCCTTATTCCGTTAGACCTTAGTAATTTCTATCACGTTTATGTACTTATTATGATTATTGTTCACTTCTTGTCTCCATCTACCAGAATGCAAGCTCCATTAGGTGAGGGATTTTGAAATATTCTTCTCACTGATAAATCCTAGGGCCTTAAACAATATTTCACAAAAGAGAGATGCTTCATAAATATTACTGTAATGGTTAAATATATACTTATTTCGAAGCTTACTCTGCTCTAGTAGTTCCTACCATGGTTTTACCTGGAGCCAGCAGCAGTTCATGGACCTCAAAGCCAGGCAAGATGGAGTAAATAAATTTACCACATCAGATTATTAGAGTCAAGGGGGTCTATTTTAAATCCCTCAATATCAAAACAACTCAAGTAATTGATGAGTAAAATTTAGAAAGATGAACCCATCATTTGTCTTTTTCGTCCTTCAGGTGGCTCTGTCATACCAGGGAGCATAGGGTCTGTAAGTGAATCAGGTGTGGGTGGTACTTCCAGTGGGATCTATGGAAATGGAACTACAGTAACAATAATGATCAATAGGTAGTTTGGGAAAGGATTTGTGGGAAGTAATTGACCATTCATCTCCTCCAGAATCAAAGATCTTCAGGAAAGCTCTTCCAGGGTTCAAGGCTACATAGCTCCTTTGATATTCACCAGGGACCTGATGCTGTGTTGAGCCCTATATTTTTCCTACGTTAGGTACTACAGGAGAATCCTCTAGGTCAACTGTATCTGGAAGTTCCTATGCAGATACAAGAAGGAAATCTTGATATTTAACCTCATAAAATAGTTAGCAGACCTCTTATAAAAAAAATCAGCGTAATTCTTTTCCTAATATCCCAAATCTTCAGACCTCATCATTCATCTTTTTATTCCCTCAGAGGCCAGAACTTTAATAGGAGACAGTGATATACCTGAAACTGGCTCCAGGCCTGGTGAGAATGAGTTGCTTACACTTTTGGAGTTCAGCATGAATTGTGACTCTCCGTAGGCTTGCCTGTTGGGAGCTGTGATCTCCAGAGTAGTTTGCATTGGCCTTCAGGATTTTCTTAGGTTTAACACGTTTTGGAAGAACTTTAAATACCAGAGTCTAGCCTCACAGCCGCAACTTTCTAAAGGTGGGCTTGTGTGTAATCTATCTGATGGGTTTCTCCTGTGATGGCATACACATCACTGATATATCAGGGCCAACCAAGGAATATTACACACCCAAAAAGAAGAGAAACATTGTGAACAGACCTCTGTCATATAAAGATTTTCTGGCTCAAAAAAATCAATAATTATATTCAGTATTTTCCTTGGCACATTCAAATATTTTTCTGGTTTCCTTCCCATGGTAGGTACCACTGCAGGACCAGAAGGCCAAACAACTGAGAGTGTGACAGGTAAACCTGGGAGAAAGCCACCTTGTGTCTCTGCCTTGGGATAAATGGGATGTCTAGGAAAGTTGCCTCAACTTGGGAATATTACCATTTTGATTGCTTTCTTAATGATATGGATCATAGGAAAGGCATATGACCCTCCCCTCATCAGGAAGCAGTGAAAGGGTCCTATGATATAGTAGAGATAAACCCACATTGCTTCTAGAGGCAGGTCTTCAGGAGACAAATACAAGTCACTGGGTTGACTTCAGACCCTTTGTATTTCAGGCACTACTAGGGTCATCCCTGGCACAACCATTGCCCCTGGCAGTTCCAATACAGGTGAGTCAGCAGAATAGCAGAGGATCTTCCATGGGTCCATCTATGAGAGATTCGTCTAGTGTTATCCTGTATCAGAGAAGTACCATATCTGTTCCATGGCCCTTACATGGTTTCCGAACATGTCTATTCCATTTCCCCCCACCTCAGAGGCCACAACTTCTGTAGGAGAAAGTGGAACCACAAGAGCTGCGATAATCACAGGTGAGAACTCTTAAGGCACTAATTGTACATTTTAATATCTTCCCAATAAAAAGTCTTGTCTGAAATATATCAAAACTCTTTGAATTTCCATATTCAGCATATTGGGCAAAATTTTAGCAGATGTTCAGTATTTGACATCAATAAATTCAGTTCAGACACTTCAGTTTTTCCTGCTTGTGCTTTAATGAGTCTTCATCAGGGAATCATGGGGCCCATTCTCTGTTAATTATACAGATGATTTGGCCCCAAATATTTTTTCCGCTAACTAGACTCTAAAAGGGGGTTCTCAGTGGTGGAGGACTTTCTCTGTAAATTTGCTGAGGGAATGAAATGTTTCATCGGAAATATATAGATAATCTCTTGAAACTAGGAAGCCCAGAAAAATGAATTTACTGGTATATGGGAAAAATAGATTTTTAAAAGCGTATGCCCATTTCATGATGGGCAACAAATTGACCACAATCCTCTTCTTATTTCAGGAACAACTGGGAGCATCTCTGGGAAAAGTCTGGAACCTGGAAGTGCCAGCACAGGTTAGGAATCCTGAACGTGGCCCCTCAGGAGGGTAGACTATGGAAGCCCAGAATGCCCTGTCCATACCTCCCAGTCTTTACTCTTTTTTCCTTCTCTCAGAAGCCAAAACTCCCCCAGGAGGCAGTGGCATCACCCAGGGAGGACTGCCAGGAGGTGAGATTTTAAGCCTGAGGCCTGGGTCTCGTATCATTTCTCTGTTTGGGTTGTTGCAATTAGCAGATGGATGGGAAGGCATGTGATGGAGAAACCTACATTTTCTCTGTGGTCATATTTGTTGGTTCAAAAACTCAGGAGCTTCCAGGGTGAAATCTGAAACTGAGCTCCATCCAGGAAGGGCAAGGTGAGACTGAAGAAAGAGATGGACCACTCCAGATTGGTGGGTGGCGGGTTTAATGAGCAAGGGAACTTACAACTGAGGCTTGCCTTGGGTGGCCACAAGATGAGTAGATCTCTGCATGTGCCCACCAGAATCTTTAAAGTTTGTGTAGAGGCCTTAACTGGGTTCAGTCACATACACCATCCTGATGGTCTCAACAATACGTTGCTCTCTCAAGGCTGCATCTTTGAAAACGGCTCCCACTATGGGAACTGTGGTCAGAATGTACATTCCAAGGTCAGCGGTGGGAGTAAGGAGTCATTGATTGCCTGGGTCCAGCTTTGTTGTCACATCCTCTCCAAGACATCCTTCAACAATATGGTACCATACTAACCTGGGTAATTATTCATCTTGGGAATTCCAAGACCTGAGATGTCTCACTCAGCCAGGCTGTCCTCAGTGTTCTGGGTTACAAAGATTTTTTTTTTCCTGAAAAAAGGTATGCATGCATATTACATAAATCCCAACCTCCCACAGTCCTCCTTACTCAGCTTATCTTACCCCCACAGTCTGCCACTCTATCATCTCTCTCATAATATGTATCTTATACATAGTGTTTTTATATATTTTTATATCCCCCCCCACTAGAAAGCTTCATGAAGGCGATTGATTATTAAGATGTTCCAAGTTACATCAAAGATTACTACTTGTAAAGATTAAACCATGGTTTATTCCCTCACGTGAGCACCTCTAGCATCCCAGATGGACACATTCCTGGAAGTGAATCAGATAACGGTGATGTTAAGACCTGCTTCCTCTTACTATGTAGTGAAAGGGAGCTCCAGTGGCAACACATCCACCAAGGCTGACCTGGGAAATGACCTGCAAAGTTGTGCACTTTCCAATTTTTCATAGAGAGTCTTCAGGAAAGGGGTACTGCTGCTTTAGGGCCACACTGATGATTCCAAGACGAACTGAGAGGTAGCAGTCTGTTGCTACATTTACTTTTTGCATTTTAGGCACCGCTAGGGAACTGTCTGGGACAACCATCGCATCTCGAGGTTCTAACACAGGTAAGTTAACAAGAAGGAAATGACCCATATTTAATCTCAGTTCTTCCTTTGAGGGCTTCTATAATAAAATATGTCTCTCCCCAGTATTCCAAATTCCCAGACTTCATCATTCTCCTGTTTCTTCCCTCAGAGGCTACAACTTCCACAGAAGAAACCAGAACTGGAGCTCAAACAGGTGAGAATAAAGAGGCCATAATTTGGGGTCATCGGGTTTAGGACTCTGTAGGCTTTCCTTGTGAACGTTCGTGTTTAATTTAGGAACATTGCAAGTGAGTCAAAATAGGTTTTCTATGAGAGAGAAAATATTTTTGAAAATCTATTAAATCCAAGTTGAGCTTTACTGCTTCAGGTCTGAAGATGAGATGGGATTTCTCCACTGGTATTATAAATATCACCAGTATATTAGCTGGAATCCAGAAAGTACCCCCCCACACACTTTTTTTCTTTTTTGGTGAATTCCTTCTAGCAATTTAAATTGGTTGAAATAAATGTAGAGTGCAGAGTGATTTCTGCTCTATGGAAATCTTTGTCTGAGCCTCTGAGTTCCAGAATATTAATGTTTTACCTAAATCATTGAGTTATATACAGCAGAATATTCTCCCCCCCCCCCCGATCTCTCTCCCCCCTCTAAACTCTCTCTCTGTCTTTCATCTTATCTTCAGGAGCCCAGGCCACTGTACCAGGGAGCCAGGTCTCTAGCATCCAAACAGGTAAGCAAGAGAAAACATAAAGATCTCCCTGATATTTACCAATATTCAGAGTAAGGAAACTTCTATTGTGAAGACATAGTGTTACTTTTATTTTGGAAAGAAATGTAGTTATGCAAATATATGGGAGGAACCCTAGAATAGGCCTTCAATGGCTTAAAAGAAACAATGATTTTCTTCTTAGCCCTTCTTTTAATGTAAATGAAATGACGTATAACCCTTTTCCCCTTGTGATTTCAGGTACCAGTAGGATAGTCTCCAGCCCAACTATTGCATCTTCAAGTTCCAGCACTGGTAATGGAATATGTATAAAGGCAATCACCCCCTTGTCTAACTTCAAGGGGGAATATGTACCCCCCAAAATACTTTCCACTTTCCTCACTTCCTTTTTCCAGAGGTTAAAATTTCCTTAGAAAGCCTCAGCGTCACTGTGATGAGATCAGTGAAGACTAGGATTTCCAGATGTTAGCACTGTCATTGAGAACTGCCATGAGCTTGCCTCTGGATCAGAGAGCTTGTAGAGAAGGGCGGGGCCAAGCATGCTGTTGATTCACACCCACAACTGGTTTCTGGACCAGCCTGTTTCCCATGCCTGGCCTTGTGGTGTGGGTTTTTGAAGAGGGTGGTAGGAGTCGTCATTCCCTGGAAGATTAACCCTCTGGGTGCTATAGGTGTAACTGAAGAATCAGCAGGCGTCAACACTGTCCCAGAAGGTTCTATCTCATGTAAGAAGATGACTGAAATGAACTTAGAAATTTTTTCGCCTCCCATGTGGCTTTTTATCTTGAGCTTTAGATTCTAAATTGCTTAATGGTTGCTTGCCTCCATGAATGATTAAAGATCATAATGTATGCAGAATCTTCTTCCTACTTTTAACCATTGGGAGCTACCTCTGAAACATCAGACCATCGAGTCACTGAAAGTAAGACAGATAAATGTGAAATTTTCCTCTATTCTCAGTCGAAGATTTTGTGTTGCTAGGCTTCTTGAATCAAAAAGTCTTCATTTGTTTTATTCACTAACGAATCTCTAGCACTCAACAGTCCTTAATAAATATTTGTTGAACTAATGGAAAAACTGATACATGAGAAAAAACACATGATTCAGTCTAGGGGCAGACAGGCTGATGAAAGGGCACACTCATGGGGCGCTCATCTGGACAAAACAGTCTGTGAATGTGCCTCTCTCTGGGAACTGTCTGTGCACAACAGGACACTGAATGATACGGCCCTGGAAATACTTTCTTTTATGCATTGATTTTCTACTCAGATTGCTTTGATGTGGAAGATTCTCTGCGATAATGCCATGTCCTTCTCATTTCAGGTACCACGGTTATTGCCTTAGGTACAACTGTTGCACCTGGAAGTTCCAGAACAGGTAGCTTAATTAGCTGGCAAGAAAGCATCCTTTCTGGAAATAAGGTGTCATAAATGCCTTTCACACTGATCTTCTCATGTAAAAGCATCACAGTCTATTTTTCCTTCTTCCTAAATCCCCAATCTTTATCTGTTTCTTCTTTCGTTTTTTTTTATTTCCAGAAGCCACAACTTCCACTGGAGTCATTAAAACTTCTGCAGTGGGATGGAAAATAGATGAGAATTACTGGGAGTGGGGGAAGATGTCTGTGTGACTTTTGGTTGATAAATTACAGTTGACCCTTGAACAATCTGGGTTTGAACTGCACGGGCCCATTTTTATGGGAATTTTTTTTTCAATAGTAAATATTACTGGTACCACACAATCTATGGTTGACTGAATCCATGGATGTAGAACCATGGATATGGAGGAATTGTGGATACAGAGGATTGACTGTAATTATGCCTGGAGTTTTGACTGTGAAGATGGTTGGTACCCATAACCTCTGCATTGTTCAAGGGGTACCCGCTCTTTTTGTTTCTTAGTAGGATAATTTCTTGGAGAGAAGCTTTTTAGGAACTCTCATCTCAGATCAACAATATTTTCTTTTATTACTTGATTTTGAATCAGTTTGGGCAGATTTTTGAAGTCCCTCCATTTCCATGGTCTCGTCTCACATGTGTAGATCTTGGCAAATGTAGAGTAGAAGTGATAAATTGTCTAGAAAGCTTTCTTTTTCTACTTGCCATTTTAGATGTCACCATGAAGTTAAGTGAAGGAAAGACGGTCCTGCATGGTTCTTTTTCAGGTAAACAGCAAGCTACAGTGAACATAGAAAATGGATTCATTAGGTTCTTCCCTGAATACAAAAGTGACTGAAATGTGCAGTGGTTATGCCAACAACTGCCTATCTTTACACTAAAAGTTTCCTATTTTCATCCTCTTAGGAGCTACCACTGGAGTATCAGTACATGAAGGAACTGGAAGCACATTAGGTGACTATGGTGGGAAAGGGGCCAGAAGAACAAGAGACAAAGCATGAATAACCCTTATCTTACTGCCATTAAATTCCAGAAAAGGGAGCCCTTATGTTGAGGAATTGACATCTTTCTTTGATTTAGGGGGGAAAACCTATGCTTAAGAGAACACAAATAATTCATAAGCAGTTGAAAAAGCCCCAAAGATGATCAGCTTCCCCCCAGGAAAGGAAAAGTCACCACTTCTCTTCTTGTTGTAGGCACCACCAGGGTAGCTTTTGGCACTACACTTGAACCTGGGAGCTCGAACACAGGTGAGCCAGCCAACTGGAGAGACTCCGCCACAGGAAGACCGCTAGCCGTAAAGCATCTTCCATGGTGGTGTTATCAAGAAAATTATCCTTAACTTTTCCCAGAATGCTAAATCTTCTTCATCTTACTCTTTTTTTTTTTAACCTTTTTCCTCTCTTAGAAGCTACAACACCCTCGGGAGGCAATGGGACCACAGGAAGTGGAATCAATACAGGTGGGCGCACCAGCATCGTAACGTCTCTGCTTTTCACTTACAGTAGTAATAACAGCTAACTCTTCTGAGCACTAACTATGTGCCAGGCACTGTTATACATCTGACCAATTATGATTTCTTTTCCCTCACCCTAAACTGTGAGGTTAAGTGTTACTGTTTTCATAGATGAGAAATCCCATGGCTCAGAGATACTAATTAATTTGCACAAGGTCACACAGCAAAGAAACAGCAGATTTCAACTCAGGCAGTCTGGCTTCCAAGTCTATCCACTTAGCCATGAGACTGTACTACTATGACACTGTATCACACTGGAGTTCTTTGTCACATGTCTGAACTTCTCCTGAACATAAAATTTCAATAGCATCAATACTTTACCCAAATGAAAAGTCAGTGGGCGATCAACCCTTCGTTGTTTATTCTTCCAGGGGGATCAAGTAGCCAAGGCACTGGCATCCTAATAGGTAAGTAAAGGGAAATGCCTGTGTCCTGACGTTAATCCCAGAGAAAGGAATGTTGCCACGGAGAGCCCCCGCCACTGGCCCATATTGCATCCTCCCCCCAGCAAGTTTTTATTGGGAATGAAACATTACATTTAGAAAAAAAATATTACATTTAAAAAATTTACATTAATAAAAACACTCTGAAACAAGCTATCGCTGAAGACAATCTTGTCACATAATAAAGAATTCTGTAGTTTCCCCATTCTGTTCTAGAATATGCTCTTCTTATTTATCGGAATAAAACTAACCTAATGAACCCATTGAATTTCGCTTTCAGTTACTACTACAGTGAACCCTGGCAGTACCACCTCATCTGGAAGTCCCAACACAGGTGAGTCAGTGAGGAAACAGGTGCTAGAATTTCTTTCTTGGGGCGAGTTCTGGAACAATAGCACATGACACCTTTTTATAACTTTCTATGAGCCCTCACTACTTTCTATCTTTTCACTCCCAGAACCTACAAATTACACAGAAGGAAGCAGAACCGAAGAAGGGGAATTGGCAACTCTTGAGTTCCTGATAATTTATACTCTGCCTTTGCCTTGTCACAGGGACATTTGTTAGAGGAAGCATATATTTATGAAAGTTATATAATTTATTCTGGGTAAACCTTATGCTGTAATTCTTAAAGAGGGGCATCCAGAAAGGTTTTCCCTTCTGACACTCAAGCTATTACCCTGGTGCGAGATGAGGGCACTATGTCTGTATGGGTCTAATTAAGGACGCAGAGATGATGGAAGTAACTCTGAAAGTGAAGGTCTATCACATTTTGAATTTCAGATGTTATGAACTTATTCCTTGAATATAATTCAGTTCATTCACACAAATATTGTTTCTGTTTCTTCTCATTAGGAGCCACCACTGGCACATCTGAGAGGCCAAGCCCTGGAAGTGAAACAGGTAAATGTGAGAGGGGCCCAGAGATCTCTGCTATTTAACCCTAAGAAGCAAATCTTCAAGGCTCAGATATTAACTGTGGCCCCTAATTTAAAAATAGAGAATTCACCCCCTTTTGGCAGGATGTCCTTAAGGAGGGTCTTCTGCTTTCAAGTCCCAGACAGCCTGGTCGGCCGTGCTCTTCTTGGGATGGTAAGTGTGTCACTATTCAGGTTCTCTGTTTCTCTGCTTCTACTTCAGGTACCACTGGTGTAGTCTCCGGCACAACGGTTGCATCTGGAAGCTCTAAGACAGGTAAAGCAACAACCTAACAGGAAGTATGAGGAGTTCCAGTGATGGGGTAGCCTCCTGCCCTCAGCGTATCCACCCAAACACGCAGTCCCCACCATGCCCAGTTATATGAGCCTTCTGGATTTACTCATCTTCTTCTTTATTCCTTTTATGCAGGGGCCACCACTTCTTTGGGAAGTGGTGAGACCACCCAGAGTGGAATTAAAATAGGTGAGCACCAGCAGTCAAATGCTTACTTTTCTCTTCATCTTAACAGTTAATCACATTGGCTGCAATGAACTCAGGGGGAATTATATTGCATCTAAACCTCTCTGAGTATGAACTGTCAGGATGTTGATTGCCCTTTATTTTACTCCCATGTGAGTTGCCCTTTATTTTGTGTATCTGTGATAAAATGGCATGACAGAAACCACACTTGATAGATCACTTAAGGCAAGAAAATTCCTGGTATAATTTGTTCTAAACCAAATCCTAGTTTGAATCCCCAGTAAAAGGCATTTCATAAATTGATTCTCTTCTCTTGTGATTTCAGTTACCGCTGGAGGAACTGCTGGCACAACCATCCGACCTGGGAGTTCCAACACAAGTGAGTCATGGGAAAGCTGAAAAAACCTGCCTATGTGGACTTTAGAGACGTGATGTCTCCCACAGGGATATTATAGAAAGTAATATTGCTACATATTTCCCCAAATTTCTGCACCTTTTTCCTATTTCTTCTCAGTGGCTACAACTTCTCCAGAAGTCAGAGCTACCACTGGAGCTGAAACGGCAATTGGTGAGTGGTTGGCTCTTTCAGCCTTTGGGTTCTCAACAATTTTCTATTTAAGTTTGTGTTAGATGATGAATGAGTGAGGAGACTGGCTGATACAGAGTTTAATGTTCCACTTGAAGAGACAGTATGTCAGGTCAGTCAGACTTGGCTTTTCCAACTGGCTTTCTCTGTATGCCAGCCTTAAAAATATTATTAAACATTTTATATAATTTTTAAAGGTTATTTTTTCATTTACAGTTATTACAAAATATTGGCTATATTTCTCATGCTGTAAAATACATTCTTGACCCTATCTTCTACCCAATAGTTTGTACCTCCCACTCCCCTACTCCTATATTGCTCCCCACCACACACTGGTAACCACGAGTTTATTTTTCTGTATCTGTGAGTCTGCTTCTTTTTTGTTATATTCACTGGCTTGTTTTATTTTTTAAGTTCCACATATAAGTGATATCATATAGTATTTGTCTTTCTCTGTCTGACTTATTTCACTTGGCATAATGCCCTACAAGTCCACCCATGTTGCTGCAAATGGGAAAATTTCATTCTTTTTTATGGCTGAGTAGTATTCCACTGTGTGTGTGTGTCTCTGTGTGTGTTTGTGTATGTACCACATCTTCTTTATCCACTCATCTATTCATCTGTTGATGGACACTTAGGTTGCTTCCATATCTTGGCAATTGTAAATAATGCTGCTATGAACATTGAGGGTGCATGTATCCTTTCAAGTTAATTTTTTTGGTTTTTTTTCAGATATATGCCCAGGAGTGAAATTGCTGGGTCATGTGGTAGTTCTATTTTTAGTTTTGTGAGACAGCTCCATACTGTTTTCCACAGTGGCTGTACCAATTTACATTCCCTCCAGCAGTGTACAAGGGTTCCCTCTTCTCCACATCCTTGCCAACATTTGTTACTTGTGTTCTTTTTGATGACAGCCATTCTCACAGCTGTGAGGTGAAATCACAGCAACATTTTTTATTTTTGGATTTGTCTCCTAAAGTAAAGGAAATCAAAGTAAAAATAAACACATGGTACCTAACTAAACTTAAAAGCTTTTGCACAACAAAGGAAACCATTAACAAATAGAAAAGACAGCCTACTAAATGGAAGAAAATATTTGCAAATGATATGACCAATAATGGATTGATATACAACACATATAGACAGTCATACAACTCAACATCAAAAAACAAACAACTCTATTTAAAAATGGGCAGAAGAACTGAATAGACATTTTTCTAAAGGGGAAATGCAGATGGCCAACAGGCACGTGAAAAGATGCTCAACAGCCCTAATCATCAGGGGAATGCAAATCAAAACCACAATGAGATAGCACCTCAGAACTGCCAGGCTTTTAGATGTGATTCTCTCAAACTAAGAATGATGTGCTGTCCTCAGTCCTTTTTCTATCTTGTTTTTTGCTGGTACTACCTCAGGATCAACTGGAGTTTCTAGGGGCTCAGAAAATTCCAGTCCTGGTTAGTAGATTATGTTTAATTTATTCATCTTGGACTTCTCTGGCATGTAAAACCCATTCTTGTGGGGTTTTCCCTCATGACCAAAGTTCCAACAAATTAAATTTGTAAAATTTATACCCCTCGAACACACACCGAAGGAGTACCCACTTGAAGCACCAGGAAGCCAAGACACAGGAAGAAAGACAAATGAGCAGAGGAATATCACTCTTATCCAAAGCATTGAACCAGAGAGAAAGGACTTTCTTCTAAGACTTTTGTCATTTGTTGGTTTGGGGAAATGGAAGAGTCAGTGGGAAAACATGGTGTTTGCTTTTCTCTGCATTCTTATACTGCGTATAAGAAACGTGAATTTATCCAAGTCCATGCTGTTCCAAGGGCAAAAAAATTATTGCTAGGATCTCTCTCTCTCTCAATTTCACAATCTCTCTATCACCCTCTCTCAATCTCCTTTTCATTTCCATTTCAGATTCCACTGGGATAGCCTTTTCCGCCATACTTGTTTCTAGAGATTCTAACATGAGTTAGTCACAGTTGCCCAAAAAGGTGCTCTGTTAGTATCTCAGGCAAAAAGCCATCTTCTTTGGGACTATTTCTTCTACTGTGACAACACGAAACATTTTTCCAGATTTCAAAATTATTTTAAATTATATTAAAATTTTCTTTTTGACTCCCAGGGACTATGACTTCAGGACTAAGTAGTGGGAGTGGAATAGAAACAGATCGGTTATGATATTGCACGACTGCTGGGGTTTTATTGCTTATTTGTAGGATTTTGCTACTGACAGGAGACGATAAAACTTTGCATTCAAAGACCCTTTTAAGACAGTTGGAGTCGGTCATCTTAATGTATTGGAATTTCCTGGACTAAAGATTTCATCAGATGCATATTTATTAAGACATAGCTTCTTAGCAGTAAATACCTTGATGAGAACAGGAATATTTTGAGGGTAGATATTTCCCTATTTGTCTTCATTGGTACTACTATCACATGTAATGAAGTCACCAGTTACCAGGAAGTTTCCAATCCAGGTAAATTAAGATGCCTAAAATAAATTTAGGGCATTTTTTTTGAATCTCACATTGAGATATTTTGTTTACTCAGTGAAAATGATCATGGGAAGAAATATTTCCTCTATTCTATTAAATATATAGCCCAGTATACTTTGTAGAATTCAACCCAGGCGTTGAGAAAACACTATCAGAGCAGACGCTGGGAGGCTTTTTGGAACTGCTAGATGTCAAAGCTGTGACAAAGTTCCTGAAATAAGAGAAAAAAAGAACGTGCCAATTTTGTATTCCACCATAATTATATTGTAATATAAGATTAGTTATGACCAAAAAATCTAAAACATGATTCCATGGGTAATAAAGTGCAATCAAAAGGTTTTTTGGTATATTGATTACCACGCACAGATTTGCTTTTTTGGAATATTAGCTAGAAAATTTAGAGAACTAATAGGAAGGAGATTAAGGGTGGAGGCGTGCCATCCAGTTTGAGACAGTTAGAAGTTATGCATGATTTAGACTGAAATAGGCGGTAATGTGGGGAAATAGAAGGCAGAAGGATGATCAGAAGGAATGAGCCATGTGCTGACAAGTTCAAATTGGTTTCAATGTGCTGGTGGGAGGTACAGGAGAGGAAGAGGGTTGGGTGAGTTCTAGTGTGTGGTTTGGGTGCCTGGGTGGATGGATGAAAAGTGCCACCTACTAAACTTTGGGAATATACTGGAGAAAGAATAAAACTGATAACTGATGGAAGACATGGTGAGGTCAGATTTTAACAATTTGAGTTTAAAATGCTCTGAGGTTTCCAGTTAGTATGCTCAGCAGGAGTGAGAAGTACAGCCAGAACACAGAAGAGGGGCTTGCACTGGAGAATGGGGTTTGTCAGTCACTCATTTACAAGTAGTATTTGAAACTACAGATGCTGGTGGGTTTCTTTAGAGTGAACATACGGAATGAGAAGAGGAGACAAATAAACTGAAACATGATTTCTTGGACCATCGAGGATGGGCAAAGGCAAGGGAGCCTGAAAAGGGGAGGACTTGGGGCTCAGCAGTTGCCAACATGGGTTAGTCAAATCCATAAGGCAACGTTTTGGAGTACTGGGATGTGACCCAAAAGACTATATTCCTTCTAATTTGGGGATTCAGAATCTCAGATCAAAGAGGATCAACCAGAATTTGTGGAGAACTTATGTGTTTTTTCTTTTTCTTTCTTTCTTTTTTTTTTTTCCTGCTGGAAAACCAGGGAGTTAAGTCACTAGAAATAAATCATGTGAATATAGGACAGACATTTTCTCATTTAATATGTTTCTAGATGACTCTAGATCTAGAGAAGTAAGATCTGTGGAGCAATGATGACTTTTCCCCGTACATTTCCTTTGACAAGCAGTCATAAGAAAGTGCGTTGGAAAATACGACAAGCTTAACTTTTTAGTGCAAGAAAAAAATATTAAATTGTTTTCTATTACTTCAGAGAAACAGGAACACCTGTCAATACCACACTTCTTAGGGTGAGAAAGGCTTTGTGAGGCTAATCTTTCTTTCTTATTACAGGTACCACTAAGGTAGCCTCTGGCACAACAGTTATTCCTGGAAGTTCCAGCACAGGCAAGTCAACATTTAGTAAGTGGCTCTAAGTAGCTAAGCCTAGAAAAGTAGAAACTCTTCTCTGGAATTGTAGCATCAACACAGCCTTCCTGATTTCACCCTTATTTGCCTTTGCAGGTACTGCTGTGGTACCAAGCAGAATTACTGGTGTCCCAGAAACCTCCAGCCCAGGTAATGGAAATATCGGATTCAAATGAAGTTAACATGCTCAACATTTTTCCCCCCTTTAACACCCAAGGGTTTCAGAAAGCTAATATTGATCTCTGTGAATGAGTATCAAACTCGAGTTGTAAAAGAAAAATTATAGAGGTGAAGTTAGGCAGGCAGGGAAGGATTTACGGTTATTACAATAGGAGTCAAGACCGTTGCAATAGGGTTGAGATTTTGAACTCAGGTCTGCTGACATAAAAAAAGGGAGAGTTTTAAGTGCTGGGGTGAACTTGTGGAAAATACTGGAGGATGTTAGGGGAGGGGTGTCTGTGTGAGTGAGCCACCTATGTTGGCTAATTGGTGCTTACCGGATGAAGTTAAGCTTCTACCTTCCCACAGAGACAGGGAGATCAGGGCACTATTTCTCTTTTCTTTTTTTAATTGAAGTATAGTTGATTTATAATGTTATATTAGTTTCAGATGTAAAGCATTATGCTCCAATGTTTTTATAGATTATACTCCATTTAAAGCTATTAAAATAATGGCTATATTTCCATGTGCTGCACAATGTATCATTGCTGCTTATCTATTTCATACACAGTAATTTGTATCTCTTAATCTCATACCTCTGTCTTGCACCTGCCCCCTTCTCTCTTCCCACTGGTATCCACTAGTTTGTTTTCTGTATCTGTGAATCTGTTTCTATTTTGCTATGTACATTTGTTTGTTTCATTTTTTATATTCTAAAAAATATGACTATTATATAAGTGATAATTATTTACATACAAGAGATAGTATATGGTGTTTGTCTTTCTCTGTCTGGCTTATTTCACTAAGCACAATACTCTCTAAGTCCATTCACATCGTTGCAAATGACAGAATTTCATTCTTTTTTATGGCTGAGTAATATCCCAATGTGTACACATACCATACCTTCTTTATCCATGCATCTGTTGATGAACACTTGGGTTGCTTTCATGTCTTGTTTACTATAAAAGTTTTAAGATGCATGTATCTTCTTGAATTAGTGTTCTGGGGGGTTAATACATACTCAGGAGTGGAATTGTTGGATCATATGGTAGTTCTAGCGAATTAAAGACTTAAATGTAAGACCTGAAAACATAAAAGTCCTAGCAGAGAACATCGGCAGAACTCTTTGACATAAAACATAGCAATATATTTTTTTGATTCTGTCTCCTAAGTCAAAAGAAATGAAAGCAAAAATAAACAAATAGGACCTAAGTAAACTTAAAAGCTTTTGCCCAGCAAAGGAAACCATCAACAAAACGGAAAGACAACCTACTAAACGGGAGAAAATATTTGTAAATGTTACGACTTACCAGGATTAATAGCCAGAATATATGAACAGCTCACATGACTCTCCCCCTAAAACTAATACAGGAGAACCAGGAAACCAGGCCATAGGAAGTAAAAGAGTTAAGTGTGAAAATAGTTCTTGTTATTTAGAGAAGGGGACCCACAGTGAGAAAGTTACCGATGAAGGAAAATACTCAGTTCCTCTGTGCGCAAGGAGTTAAGTTAGTGCCCGTTACCTCTCAACGGCAGGAGCATGAATTAGCATTAGTAGGCGTGTTAGTCCACTCCAGGTGCTTTGAGACTCTTCCTCTACGTGAAGATGGTTTCGGACCATGCTCTTCTGAGACCAGAAAAAGTTCACTGTTCTTTCCCTACTCATTTTAGGTCCCTCCAAGGAAGCATCTGAAACAACCACCGCTCCTGGAATTTCTACCACAGGTAAGTCAGATAATTAACCAATGCAGTTTGCTTGGTGGCAACTCAGAAGACAGGACAGCTTATCTGAAGTTAAACTCTAGCTTTTCTAGTCCCCTCTGCTCTCCACTTTTGTTCCTCTCTTAGTGGTCCCTGCTTCCACAGTGGTCAAGGGAGCTCTGGGACTAGTATGCAAACAGATGAATGCTAGTAACACAAACTCTTCAGTGATCAGTGTACCTGGTAAAGATTTTACATATAAGGAGTTGGGTTTGGGGGAGACAAGTGGTGGGAAAGAAACAAGAGAGAGAGGCCAGGAAGATTACCCTAAGTTTCCTTTTGGAACATGACTTTGAAGTTCAGTTAGAGATTTTTTTTCCCTCTAGGATTTTTGGGTTAGACTTTCACCAGAGCTCCTCTCCTGAAGACTTTGGTTATGAGCTTGATACGTCTGAGAACGGGTTTATGAAAGTATGAAATATTCCTGATTTTTTTGTATTTTCTTCTGCAGCCTCCATCTCAGTGTCAACAGCAAGCCCCACAGTATCCTACCCAGGTAAAATGAAGTGACCCAAATGCACTGCAGTGAACTATGTCTTCCACAGGAAGCTTTCCTTAAGCGTGAACGCATGCGATCATTTGTACATGTACACACACAGAGACTTCATATCTGTACACGCTATTCTAATCAATAAACTGACAGCACCATCCTTTTGTTTCTCCCCAGAAACCACTGTAGTAGCAACAGGAGATCAAGAAACTGAAAATAAAACAGATCAGTGTGGGGAGAGTCCTAAATTCTTTGTTACTTCTTCAACTCTTCAGTATCTTCTATGTGCTAGACTCTGTGGCAGACACTAATAGTGAAAACATCAATAAAATAAAGCCCTTGCCATTTTTTTTTACTTTGTATATGTTGGGGGAGGAGAGATTATTCTGGGCACAGGTAACATCATTACAGTGTATTTAATGCTACTCAAACGTGTGCAACAATTATGTTCCCAGGAGTGCAGTGAGAGTAAAGTGTTAATTTCTACTGACTAGTTGGTGGTGTTGAGTGAAGCCATCAGAGAAGAGATGATTGAGTTTAATACTGACTAGGGTGAGGATGGAATTCCTGCCAAACAGTACTTGAAAAAGACATGAGACAGCATGAGTGACTTCAGGAATCAACCAGATATTGGTTATGTCTGTAGGGGATTCAGGGAAGAAATGAGATTAGGAAGGTAAGCAGAAGAATGTTTATGAAGGACCTTATTTCCAAACTTAAATGAGACTTTATCTTTATAATAAATGGGATCTCCGTAAGGATTTTATGAAGAGAATACTATGATCAGATAGGTCTTAGAGAAATTATTCTGATAGCCATGTGGGTATTATGAGATTATATTTTTTTCTTCTTGTTGCATATTTCACGAGTGAACTCTTGGAATCCTGAGTGGGGATGATTTTCTGCTGTATTTATGCATAAAGATCATTTCTATCTCTTGTGGCTGGTTTCTGCTACTCTTGCTAAGCATTTATAATTGGAAATTATCCTAGTCTCCCTTGGTAAAGAGAAACATTTTATCCCCCAAATTTCCACATCTTTAATTAATTTTTTACCTGTTTTTCTACACCTAGTAATTGTTAGGATCCTTTATGTGAAGAAATGTTAAGTTACTCTCAAATATTCTGTTGCTTCTAGGACAGCCTTCTGCTTGGTAGATAGAATAGAAATATTCATCTGACTTTTAGCAGTTTGGGAATAGAATTTGAAATTTATGAGTGGATTGTTGTGTTGACCAAACTTTGTGATATGTGAAGACTCAAAAAATATAAGCAGTTTAAAGCATTTGGTCGGAGTGGAGATAGAACAAGATTAAAATATTTTAAGAAGACAAAAAGGATAAAAATTGTTAAAGGATTAAAACCAGGTAACTAATAATACTTTGATGTTTCCTGTACTAAATTGTCCTTTTCCTTGTTCGATTGTGTATCTTATTGTCCTATTTATCAGAACTGCCTTCCAAGAAATTTTGAAGTAAGAGAAGTTTACCTCAATTCTTACTTCTTTTGATTCTCATATTTCTCTCCTGTTAAAATTTGAGATCCAAAGGAAACACTCTCTAACGGTGGAATATCAAATGCCATGAGGAGTAGAAGGGGAAGATTGATGAGAATATGTTTGTTTGTAAGACTAACAATGTAGCCATGTAACCAATTGTTTTTAGTAATTAGACAACTATACTGACTCCAAAACATTTCCAAGAACTTTAAAGACTAATATGAGGTATCTGTTTTCGCACAGGGTGTCCAGAATCACTTCCACCACCTCCAGGTAAGAATACTTCCACTTAAAATTCAATCCTTCTACATTAATGTTTTTTCTTGTAAATTAAATTTCAGAGCTCATGCTGATAAAAGTCACAACTATGGAAGCATTATAGAATAGAAAAACTTGAAGTGGATGAATTTAGATTTTATTCACCAAATAAATAGTGAATGATAGTCTGTTTTCTCACACACAAACAAATAAAATCAAACCAAACAAATGCATCTTGTCACTTAGTCAAAATAGAATTTATCTACTAAATAAAGTGTTTCATGTAACTATATGATATTTTGATCAAAATATTGCCACTGGATAGTATTATTTAAACTAGATAATTCTAGCTTTTTTTGAGACTGAATTATAGCAAGAAAAATTAGAGGTAACCAGAGCTCAATAATTTTAGTGGACTTTGCATTCCTTTAAGATTTATCAAGCCAATGTGATGTGCTTTGCAGAAAGTGACAAAAGTAACCCCCCCTCAAAAAATTATTCTCTGATCTTACAGTATAGTGGGAGGAGGGAGATTTTCAAAGAAACAGGCAATTTTTATATAAGGCTGAAAATAAATCTCCCAGCAAAAAATGTGATGTATTATATAGAGAGTACATGTTATGTGTCACATATGTTACATATATTTTGTACTCTGGAAGGATTCTGGAATAGGAATTTGAGAACAGTATGTAGACTAGTCCAGAATATGTAAATAAGAGAAATAAGGTTGAGATGATATATTGAAGACACTTTATGGCAATCTCAGAAGCTAGAATGCAAAAATAAGGTATTTATTTTACAAGACTCTATGGGATATCAGAAATTTTTAATCAAAGAAATGATGAGATAAAATGTAGGCTTTAGGAAAACGATTCTACCTGTGGCGTAGGGAATGGAATTGGCTGGATCAAGAAGATGTCTGAGTCAGAGTCATCCCATCCCTGAACGTGCTAGATTATGAAAGATCAAAAATGAGAAGGTCCTGGAGTAGTATAGTAACATGTAAAATCAGGAAAGGAAGGGATTCAGATGAGGATAAGGATATGAGATTTTGCAGTCGATTTGGATGCCAAATGATGGAAAGGAAGCAATCAAGATGACGTCCAAGTTTTAAGCTTAAGTAATTGCAAGAATAGTTCAGTCCTTAACAGGAGGTAGGCAGTTTAGATGAAAAACTCTTTTTAGAGGCAAGATGATACAATCTGTTTTGTGCACACTGAGGTTGAGGTTCTTATAGATCTGCAGGGATGCTGTTCATTAGGCTGAAGTAGATGTGGGGCCACAGCTCACCAGAGCTGTCTGGACTGGAGCAGAAGTTAGACAGTCAACTATTTGATATTACAGTAGATACTGTAAAGATGGGGGGAGGTATCAGAGGAAAGGATAGAGACAAAATGAAAGAGAGGAGAAGGAGTTGCTAATAAAGAGAGGGATTTCAGTGTTGAATCTGAAGGAAGAATATTTTCAAGATTTAAAAATGTCAGCTATCATAAAGAACTTGGGAAACTGAGAAAGAGTCCTTGGGACTGGAAATTATGTAGACTCAGTCGGTGACTGACTTGTAGGATTATGGAGGCAGAAGTCAGAAAGTAAAATGATAAGTGAAACAGCAGCCATAAGATCTGTTGGCTACTATCAGGAGAGATCCAGAATTATCCTTTGCTGGAGATTGTAAAAATAGGAAATGTTTGTATACTTGTTAGAAACAGTTTCCTCAAAGTAGGTGGATGTCACTTATCCACCTGAAGGCACCTAACAATCCTTCACAATTCTGTTATTTCTGAAATCCTAGTGCCAATTCAGTATTGCTCACCTGGCGGTTATCTACAATAACAGTTATATTTTGCCAAATTTGATTCACATTTGTCATTTCATGTTAAACAGTTTGTCATGGCCCACTGGGAGAAGAGAAGTCTGTAAGTACACAGCTTCTACTTTAAGCCACATTTGCTGCCATTCCTGTATTTGAGTAGAAGTCTAAACCTGGCTTGTATTTGTAGCCTGGAGACATATGGACGGCCAACTGCCACCAGTGCACCTGTACCAACGAGAATGCTGTAGACTGTATGCTCAAGGAATGCCCTTCTCTACCGACATGTAAAGCAGAAGAGAGGCTTGTAAAGTTCAAAGATAATGATACCTGCTGTGAAATCGGATACTGTGGTGTGTGTTCGTAATGCATGGTTTGAATTGAATTGAATAGTTGTTTACTCGTTCGGATTTTCAAGAGATTCTTACGGAGCTACTGATCTGGGTCAAATGCTTGATGGGTGTGATAAATAAAACAAAATCACTACTTGCCTTCTTGAAACTTACTAGAAACTTTGGAGTAGGGGAAACCCAGTATTAATCATTATGAATACAATCAGTGGATTAAAAAAAGATATTGGTGTTATAGGAAGAAACATCATGTTTCCTTATTGGTTGATAAATATGATCTCATGTACAATTTCTGTTTTGTAAATAACAAATAATTATGCTTATCTTAGGATGAAATATGTATTTATTTTTCAGAACCAAGAACATGTTTATTTAACAATACTGACTATGAGGTAAGGTCATTTCTACTTTTAAATATACTTTTGTTAATATAATTATGAATAAATGTCGGATCTTTCAACTTATATAAAAAAACATGGGTAACAGTGGAGTAGAATCTTTTTTTTCCATATTTATTCCAAAAGAAAGGTCAAATGTAACATCTACCGTAGCTTGCTTCGAAGGGGAACAATATACTTGATCATTAACCTAGCAATGGAGCTTCCGAACAAAATTTCCCATGAGTCTCGCCAGATGGAAGATGCACAGTTTGTAACATTCAAATCCATGAACAGAGTTAAACTGCAATTATAACCCAAAAGATCAGATGGCCAAACTGTCAGAGATCAAATAAGAAAACCCAAAGGACTAGAACTCCATTATTGGTGATACAGCAACACAGTATATTCAGGGCTGGATTTGGCATACTGAAAAGAAATTTAGCTTTTTAGAAGAAGTATCAGGAAGCCACAGAAATCAGATGGTTCTCAAATTGATATTAACAAACTTGAACTGGTGATATTAAATATAAAAAATCTAAATCTATGCAGATACTAACTACAGTACATAAAATAGATAAACAACAAGGTCCTACTGTATTAACACAGGGAACTATATTCAGCACCTTGTAATAGTCTATAATAGAAAAGAATATGGAAAGGAATATATATATCTATATATATTTGAATGACTAGAAATTAACACAACATTGTAAACTGACTATACTTCAGTAACTTAAAAAAAAAACACAGTCTGCTGGCTTGTACTCTCAGCACTAACCTAGCATTTTAAAATTTGTGGGTTTTTTGAGATTAATAGAAAATATAAGCTGTACATCTTCTAAAGGAAAAAACTAAAAAAAATCTAAATCTAAGATAAAATATGTGGTGTGTTAAGAAATACATAAAACAGAGCCTGTAATTTAATAATATTTTAATTTGATAACTCATGTATTACACTCACATTTCTATCTGGGCGTCTTAATTTGTAGTTTCCAAAGGCGATCTGACTTGAGAATCTATGGCAGTTTTTTTAAACATTTATATGCAAAATAGTTGAAATAAGAAAATTTCAGTTTACCAGAAAGTTCATTTTGTGGTATGAGGCCCTGATATAAATAGAATTTTCCAAACTGGTATTTGAATTTTGAACATAAATTAATTATAAAGCAATCTAGAAAGCTTTAAAAGCATAGGAGCACAAGCAAAGATTAAAGATATCTTGTAGGACTTGCCTTTAAAATCCTTGAAAAATAAAATAGTGCCACTATAGATGAATCTTAATTTGAGGATTGAGAATCTTGACCACTCCCTGGTTGCAATGGAAGAACTGATTTATTCATAGACAGAGAAGACTTTAATCCATCTTTTCTTAAGTATTAATCTAATGGCTGAAAGCACCTCTGGAAATTCACTAAGCATTATGAATTTGAAAAATTTTTATAGATTTTATTGTTAACCTAAAAGGGAAATCAAGATGAATAATCATTTTGTCTCTCTCTCTCCCTACCTCCCAGGTTGGTGATTCATTTGATGACCCCAACAACCCATGTGTCTCCTACACTTGCCTCAACACTGGTTTGACTGCAGTGGTCCAAGACTGCCCGAAGCAGACCTGGTGTGCAGAGGTAAGTCATCTTCTTACGTCACGATCAACAAGAATCACTTCTGATGTTATAATATAAACACAACCTGTCTTCTTTCTCATTTGGAAAAGTTGGTACCTGGACAGTGGAACTAAAACTCCACCTTTTATTGCCAACTATACTTTTCATATCAGATATGTATCTGCAGTCTGTATAAAACTTAATCTAATGCTATTCCAGAAGTAAGTTACTGTAGAAAACATTTTGCTAGTTTTAAACGAACACAAAATACTAATTTTTCAAGGTTCATGGATTCACATTAATCATTTTCTGTAAAAAATACAATTTTAACCTAATCACATAAATGTGTACTGTTCAGATCTCTCTTTGTGCCACAGTCTTCATTTTTAATCCCCTAAATTATAGTGAGGAGTTTATATTCATGAATAGTTAAGTTTAAATTATTAAGAGAGGTTTAAACTTAACTGTCTTTTCTTTCTGAAGATATAATTGACCATATTGTTTAAAGTTTTATTTTAGAACTCCAATATTGGATTTCCATCAACATTTATTGATTTTTTACTTTGAGACATTGATAGCTTCGAGACTATAATAATGTGTAAAGTAAAAACCCTGCCTTGTGAGAAGCTTACAGTGTCTCGTAGTAATCTCATTATTAAAGTATTTTTCAATTAAAATAAGAGAGGGATGTTTTTAAATTTTTTGCATTTTATTTTAAAGAAAAATTTGTTTTTCCCTTTCTACTCACAGTTGAAAATTTTTTGTATAGAAAGTTTCATTTTTATTACTATGTCCTCCCATCCATGCTTACTGGATGTTTATCTGTTCTATTTTCCCTTTTGTGATGCTATTTCAATAAGCTAATAAATGTTTATTTGTAGAAAAATACAGGTTTTTTCAGTCTTTTTCTTTTTTTCTTACCCCTATAGGAAGACAGAGTCTATGATTCAAAGAAATGTTGCTATACATGTAAGTAAAATTAACCTCCACATCTAAAGGACATGTAACCTGTTAGTGAAAATTTAGTGTTTCTTTAAAACAAAGTGGCAGCTCATTAATAGGAAGGGGGGCCTAATCTCCTGTGTTTTTAACAGAACAGGTAATCTAACCCATATGCATTAAGTAACCGTTGACATTTGTACATGATGTACTAGTGTTACTTAATCATGCTGGTTACAATACTCTTCCCAGTAAAAGCCAGTGATGTTTACAAGGGAGGAAATTTAATTTTCATGGAAAAAATTTAGTTTGCTCTCCTAACAGCAGCAGGTTATGTTGTAAATTGGTGTATTAGATCATGAGAGTGACCAGCAATGAGAAAATGGATGTCGAAAGCAACCATCCTTCTCTCTTTTCTTCCCTCCACCCTCTTTCTTCTCTCCTCCTTCCTCCCCCTCCCCTTCCTCCTCCTTTTTTTTCTTTCCCCTTCTCCTATGAAAGTAATAATAAAAATAGTATTAAGATAACATTTACCAAGTATTGATCAGGTACCTTGAGCTGGTGCTGAGATAGTTAATCCCTTCGATAACATTGTGGAATATTTGTTATTCTTCTCTGCTTCACAGTTAAGGTGACTGAGACTTAGCAACTGTTAATGTTAAACCTCATTTCTGATTCTTTTATCCATTTTGTTTTAGGTAATACTCATTGCACATCTTCTCCCGTGAATGTGACTGTTACCTACAATGGTTGCAAGAAAAAAGTTGAAATGGCAAAATGTGTAGGGGAATGCAAAAAGACTCTCACGTAAGTTTTTCTATAAATGTGTACCGTGCATTAGTTTTGTAACGTTGCGGAGTAAATTAAGCTTTTAAAACATTACATGGACGAATGTTTACCTGAAAGCTAATGCTCAGGACCTGATTAACACCAAATATTAACATTTGCAAAATAAAATGAACATTTTTAAATAGTGATTATTTTGAAGTAGTGTTCTAAATAAGTCATACATTTGGGGCAAGTGTTTATTTTCATACCGTGATTACAGAGAATGCTTAAGCCAATACTCTTGCTTAAAAGTGCTGTGTGTAAATATCACTTGCATTTTAGATATAACATATAACATATGTTTTTCTTTTGTACACTTTTGCATATAGATTAATATATGGAGAATAATAATTTGATATTATATTGTATGTTTTAAAAATTATTTTGTTTATTGTTTTGCACCATAATACTCTATGAGATTATAAATCTCCATTTTGGACTTCTTTGCTTCTTTTTTCTCTTGGTCTTACATACCAATGATCACAAGTCCACATCAGAAGTTTATGGTAAAGGAGGAAATGTAAGGTGTAGGAAAAGAATAAACTATTTAGAAAACTTGCTAAATCACTTCGACAATTAGAATTTGAGCACTGATGTCAATTTATTTCAGCAGGTATTCAAAAAGTATTTCTTACCGATTTTCTTTCCTTTTAGGTACAACTATGATATGTTTCAGCTGGAAAATTCGTGCCTTTGCTGCCGAGAAGAAAACTACGAGTACAGAGAAATTAGCCTTGATTGTCCTGACGGCAGTGAAACAGTTTACAGATACAGGCACATCACCACCTGCTCCTGTGTAGACCCGTGCCAGTCTCAGACCTCGATAGTCAGTTAACAACAGCGTTACCTTTCCAGTTGTAACAGGCTGGGCATTTATTTTATAAGTGACTAAGAATAATCACCAAATCGTGATAGTAACGAGACACTGGCATCTCACTCAGAAAATGGGCTGTCATTATAAGGCATTTTGTTCTCCTGTCTGCTGGATCCAAAAATAAATAAACAAGTACAACTTTGCACGCAATTAGTGAGCACATGTATTTATTTGGTAGCAATGAGAATTCTGCAGGTCGAGGAGAAACTGATTCATATCATGGCTCTCCAGTATACTCTCTGTGTGGGTGAGGCCATCATCCTCTTTTGTCCCTTCACTTCAGTGCTAAGTTTATGAAAATGTACATTTTGTTCTCTTTTTCCACTTTTCACGCCAGTTGCATCATCCCTTCTGTTTTACGACAGCACCCCCCGCCCTTCCTTAGGACACCCGTGGCCTTCTTATAATTCTTTTATAGGATCTAATATCATTTTCATTCTCTTCCTTTCTTGCAACATTTTTCTCTTGCTATTTCTGTGACGTCATTTTTTAAAAATTAGCGCTCCTACATTTTGTGGACACCTCCACTTTTGCCAGACCTATAAGTCTGTTCTCCAAAGTTGTACCTTGTTCCTTCTTCTCATTTTACTGTGGCTCCTTGGACAATTTCATCAACATAAGTAGATGTGTTTATACACTGAGGATTTCCAGTATATCTCCAGCCCCAATCTCTTCTCTGAGTTACAGACACATTGATACAGCTCTGAATTTACAACTCTAACCGGACAGTCTGTAAGCACCACAATTTCAGCAAGACCAAACTAAACTAAATGTCACTCTCCCTAGCTTGGTCCTCTGCTTGTATCTTGCATACCACTGAGGTAGTTAGCTAGAAGAAGTGGAGGTTCAGTGTCATGACTGTCATCTTCAGTACATTCTACCACTTTGCTGCCTCATACACACAGCTTTCTTTCCTATACATGTATTTCCAAATGTGTCTTGCACAACGTTGTTTCCATATGTAGAATATGTAAACTAACACTTTAATTCCCTTCCCAAACCCAATTTATCATAACTCGTTTATGTACTACTCACCTTTTTGTGTGACTTGGAATATCGGTAAATTTAACCATCATCAAACACTAAATGCCTAATGGCAGGGGAAGAAAATTGGCATGTTAGTATATTGGCTACTGCCAACAAAAGGTGAATAATAACTAAATACAGGTGGATATTACAGAACCTCACTTTCAAATTTGATCTCAAGGCCTGTGACTTTCCTCCACGTCTCGTCACTGGTTCCAGCTTTTTCTTCTTATAAGTCTATACCAGAGATAGTCAGTTGGCAAAATTATCAGGGAGTTAAGCTCTTAAAAATTTGAATGGATGATGATTTTCAATACCTTTTACCCCAGGGAATGATAAAACACAGAGTCAAACATACACCGACATCTCAAGCTCTACTGTGGGCAATAACTCTGTTTTCCCTTGGTAGAATTAATCATCCCAGACAATATAATGACAGCCTTTTCTGCTTCGGAAGGCTCCTCTGGAGTCACAAAAGACCCAAAATGGCTGGCAGGGACTTTTCAGCAAATGGGAGAGAATGCGTTGATTTCTGACTCATCTAACGTAGCTCACGGTGTCATCCGCACACCAACCTCGCCAGTTAGTATCCCTCAGCCGGTGTCAGAGGGGAGTTCTCAACAGGCCAGTCTTTAAGGTTTACCATCCATGAATGATAAGGCAAGGAAATACCATTGATGTTATATGTACTTACAGCCTTTCTGTTTTTCATTTGGAAACAATTTTTTTTTGGTTGGAAGGAATGCTATGCATCATTTCGTGGTAGTGAATAGAATATGCAATAGCAGTGCTTCCTAAGGCATATTAAACACAAAAAGAAAATCCAAATAAAAAACTGGTTATATCTGAGAAAACAAGCACCGTCCTCTTCCCATCAAAAAGGGATCAAAGTTGTCCACTTGTTACCAGACTGGCGCCCTACGGCGATGCCACAAAAGAAGATTACTTTACTGTTGGCATTGTGGTGTGTAAACTGGCTTTAGTGGAGGAAATTTAGGCTTCTGAACTCGTGCATCACCTCCATTCCTGCCACAGTTGACACCTTATTCATGAACCTCATTGTTGAAGGAGGTCATCAAGAGGGTGTGACCGCCAGTTGACCTCTGGATGGACTTGGGCAATTGAACGCTCCTTGCCCTCGTTCCTGTACTTAGGGTGTGTGTTCCACTTGCCTTCCCTTCACTAGATGCTACCGCAAGGACACAAGCTTGACATAGTAAGGTATTATTGGGGTCCTCTGGATGGTATATGTGATCGAATCCAGTTAAGGCTACTATATAAGCTTTTTAAGATTCTGGCAGGTGGGTACAGTGATCCACTTGTCTTGCATCACCCAAGACAAACCTTGTAAGTAAGGTCCTTTGCTAATTAAAACTTGCCACCTACCAATCTGCAGTGGTCAGCCTCTTTCTTCAGTCTTTCCTTGCCCTCTGTGTACAGGGCCAATTTACAAACTAACACTCATTTAGCAGCTACTAGACAGAATAAGAAAAAAGACTTATTGAAAACCCCAAACTGTGACAGCCACAATTCACACACGCTACTTATATTGATTCCAAACCAATATTTGGAAACAAAGTTCAGGGGCTCATACTGCTTCATTCCATAACAGAAACATCTAGAAGAGCAGCTGAAATTTCAGTCATCATCAAATTAAGCTTATTGTGAGGGATACTGTGATGCGCTGCCCAGATTCCCCTTCAAAAGGAAAGGACTTACTTCCCCAGATTTTGAGAGGTCTACCAGAAGGCTAATTACAGCTGAAACACAGTCTTCTGGCACCACTCAAAAAAGCCCAGATCACCTGGATCTTTCAGTCTCCTTCAGGGATTGCCTAAGGTAAATGAAGCCCCGTCCTTCAGGGTAATGTCCCATTTCTGGGGAAAAGAGAAGCATACAATGACTGATGAGGGGCGGTAGAAAGGTTTGGACCCCTCAGCTCAACTTGCATCTTAAGAATGCCCAAGGAGGTGATTGAGCCTTCTGTCGAAGACACAATGGCTTGACTTCTCCCTCTACCCAACCTTGCTTTCTAGCTTCCCTTTCCCCAATTTGGACTCCAAGAGCATTTCTTAATGAATTTGCTGTGTGTTAATACCCATCTCAGAGTCTGCTCATAGGGAACCCAATGTGCATTACTTACGGGAAGTTGGCATCATTCTCTAGGGCCCGTCAGTTGTTTGCGATATTCAGGCTTGAGAACTGAATGGGGGAAGAATGCAGAAATGGGTCTACCGCTCTCTCATCTTTGATGACAGTTTTGAAATGAGCTAAATGTGCAAATCCTCCACCATTGCCTCTATCTCTCTTTTTCTCCTTTTCCTTTCCTGTATGTAATAAGAAATTTTCCTATATGCCAATGAGACCGTTTTAATAGCTTTAAAAGACAAATGGTCCTACCATAAAATTAATGAGAGGAAAGAAAGTTGATAATTAGTATGATATGACTCACAGGGATTTAAAATCCAAAATATATAAACAGCCCATAAAGTTCAATAACCAAAAAACCAAACACCATGATTATGAAAACCTGAATAGATATTTTCCCAAAGAATACGTACAGATGACCAACAGGCACATGAAAGGGTGCTCAGCAGTGTTAATCATCAGAGAAATATAAATGAAATCCACAATGAGATATCACCTCACACCTGCCAGAATGGCTATCACAGAAACAAATGTGGGACGGATGTGGAGAAAAGGGGAACCCTTGTGCAGTTAGTGGGAATGTAAATTGGTGCAGCCACTGTAAAACCATATGAGGTTCTTGAAAAAACCAAACATAGCACTACCATATGTTCCAGCAATTCTACTCCTGTGTATCTGTGTATACAAAATCCAAAGGAAACAAAAATATTATTTTGAAAGATATGTGCACCCCAACACTCATAGGATCATTATTTACAATAGTGAAGATATGAAAGAAACCTAACTATCCATCAACAGACAAATGTAGAAAAGCAGATATGATACATATATAGATATAATAGATATATACATATACACACAATGGAATATTACTTAGCCATAAGAATAATTAAGTTTTGCCATTAGCAACATGGTTGGACTTGGAGAGTATTAAGCTTTGTGAAATAAATCGGACAGAGAAAAACCATATGATACAACTTATATGTGGAATTCATATGGCAGAGGATTTTAAAATTGATTATCTCATACCATTTTTAGGAAGATGACTATCTTCTATGACTATGATTATCAGAGGCACATCCAAGAAATAATCTAAATTAACTTTTGCTTATGTTCACGAAATAAGCTAGATTTAGTTTTGTTACCTGGCTTAAATGGCTTTATGTGCTTAGGAAACTTTTACATTCCATTTTGTTTTTAATTTTAACAGTATGAAACCTGAAGCTAATCAAGCATCTAAGTCTGACCACCAGTTGTAGGAACATGCTAAGTGATACTGTGATGATAATCAAAGCAAGGAATAATGACCCAATTTCTTCAGCAAATAGAATTATAAAGAAGGAGAAAGAACTATAAAGAGAAAGAAAGAATTATAATGGAGAAGTCTCTTAGAAGAGACTTAGGAATTGTATGAATTAAACACAATGCATGAATGTGGTTTGGATCCTGACTGGAACAGGTTAATCATAACAAGACATTTTTGAGACAGGAAAAACAACGTCTTGTGTCATAAGTGATATTAAGGAATTGACATTAATGTCATTGGTTGCAGTGATGGTACAGTTGGCCCTCCATATCCACAGCTTCTGCATCTGCAGATTCAACTTGGATGGGAAACATTAAAAAAGATCCAGAAATTTCCAAAAAGCAAAATTTGAATTTGCCATGTGCCAGCAGCTATTTATATGGCATTTACATTGCATTAGTTATTTTAAGTATTCTAGAGATGATTTAAAGTATACAGGAGGCTGTGCGTAGATTCATACAAATACTACAACATGTTATATAAGGGATTTGAGCATCCAAGAATTTTAGTATTTACAGGGGTCCTGG